TTTACATTGCTGTTGTTTTTCCTATAAGGGTTAGGCAATGGGCTCCATGGGAGGAGTGAAATTGAAGAACTTGACTTCTAGTCAAGGTTTACCTTACGATTCGTCACAGAGGTCAAAAACTTTGTATTATCTTCTCTGTCACAATTCTTGTCCTCTGGAATAGGATTCCCACCTCCACAAGAGATTTGTATGGCTCCCACTCTGATAATGTCCCCCGGGCCTCCCAGGTCACTAATCAGTCAACATTTTTTATACAAATCTAGAGAAATCTGTGGGCTTATGTTTTCATTCCTTTGGACAGCTGAGCTGGTCTATTTCTGGCTGAATTGAGGTACAAGAATATTCTATACAACCAGAAATGCCGCAGCTTTGCAGAGCATGTTGGCAGTCAGTTTTTTTCCCTTAGCACTTAGGCTTTCCCTTTCCCTATAGAGATAATTCTGTCTTTTTATTTTCATAACTAGGGAAGTTTCTAAAATGAGCTGTAGGACATCACCTTGGCAAGTTGATAGCTTTGTCTCACTGCAATGGCTAACTATTTTGAAAAAGAGCTAATGCAACTATATGAAGTAATTAAATAGTACTATTTAAATGGAGAGAGGGAGAGAGGGAGGGATGGACGGAGGGAGAGAGAGAGAGAGAGAGAGAGAGAGAGAAAGAGACTGAACACTGGTTAGATACGCTTTGTAGGATATTCTCAGTGTTTCAAGGACAAATATCAATTAATTTCCATTTGTGACTAAGCATTTGGGAAAGGAAAGCAGTGTCAGTTTGATAAAAGTATATAGGCAACTATATACTAGCAATGTGATGTTCTCATTGTTACTTTTAATGCCATTGTCTATTAGGTTAGCTATCCATGCATATCGATGTGCCTTCTTGGATATTTTTCAAATTCATTTCCCCATCTGATTTTTAAAAATATTTTAATAAAAACATTTAATAACAATGGGTCTAGCCTGCCCCACTCTCACCAGCAGAACAGGCCTACTACAGACCCTGCTAAGGAATTCTGGTGGCCAAAGTCAAGGAGAAGAGCCTTTTGCACTGTGGCCCCATCCCTGTGAAACACTCTACCACCCAAGGTGAGAACTGCTCCCTCTCTTTTGGCCTTCTGTAGTAACATTCTGAAGGGCTAATTCACCTTCTGACAGGGTAGTAACATTCTGAAGGGCTAATTCACCTTCTGACAAAGAAATATTTGTGACTAGCCATGCCTGCAAGAGCAGTTATTTTGTGAACAATCATTCTATGAATGCATCCATTGCATATTAAGCATGCTCTCATGAAAGAAGAGGTTCAAAAAGCTTGGCTTTTTCAGAATAAAAGCTACAAATAGCAGACATATTAGCCAATGCATCGTTTTCAGAAAAAAATAGACCAAGGTGATAAGAGGCAATTGGCTGAGATAATTGGATAAATGTTTGTCATCCACTGTCTAGGGAGATTCTCAAGTCATCCAGGTCATGGTTGTCACAAAGATGCTTTTTTCACAAGGCAACTGGACTTTCTTGTTTTTCTTTGAAGATGTTTCGCTTCTCATCCGAGAAGCTTCTTCAGCTCTGACTGTTTCATCCACTGTTTGAATTCAGTCATGGCTGCCTTGTACAGCAGAGAATATTGCTTGCCTGCTTGGGAACAGCTCATAATCTGACTAAACCAGGTTTCCTCTTCCTGGTTGCCTCCCAAATGTGTGGACTTCAACTCCCCAAATTCCTCAGGTAGATAAGAATTAGAGAATTGAAGTGCACATATTTGGAGGACACCAGATAACTTTCTAGTGTGCAAATAAATCTTCTTTGAGTTATTTACCACCATCTACTTCTCCCATTTTAGTTTTGGAAACAATTAGTAGAAGTTCTTGGAACAACTTGGAAGTTCTTAGGACAAAAATTCTTACAACAATTATATATAAAATCTGAGTCAATCAACAGTTGATTCTTTTTTCAGTACCAGTAATCAAATAGCATCTTCCATTGAAAGCAACTGACTCCTTTCAATGGCAGAATGGCAGTGTGATTTGTACTGTACAGTCAGTTGAGTCACTCTAACCGTAGGACAGTCCCACCATTTACTTAGCAGCCTAACTTGTTTCCTGTTCAACTCTTTCCCTGTTGGGTTTATTAAAGTAAGGGTGGGAGTGGAGAATGTCAAGTAATTAAGCCACTTTAATCCAAATTTTATCCCACATCTCATTTAAGAGCTGGCAATAGAATACACAGACTCCGTCTTCACATTTTTTTTTCTACAACAGCAACTTTGTGCTCCCTTACACACACACATCTGCAATATATAAAGAAACTGTTACAAATTCTTCTTCCTTAGTAAGAGGTGAAGAATTCTCCAAGTCAAGTTCAACTTCTGGTGACCCCATAAACACAATAGTATAGAATCATTTGCTATTAGTGTGGAGTCCTTGGTGCTCTCCAGACTGATGATATTACAGTATCTAGTTGGGTAATGAAAAGTCTGCAAGAAAACAACCAAGCTCAGAGAGCACCAAGGACCCCACAGTTCAGCCCTGAGCTACAAATACTCTTTTCTATTATTTGCCATTGCCTTTCCCTTCTGGGATGCTTTCTGACTTCCCAATCTAGCCTATAGCCTTGAGATTCCCTGGTGATCTGCTACTCAAGTATTAATCAAGTTCAACTCTGCTGAGTCTCAGCCTTATTGGCCATTCCCTATCTTCTGCATGACTGTAGAAGAAAGCTATATCTTTTCTCCTGAAATATGGCTTGCTTCTGATCGAAGAATTAATTCTGAGAAACATTTTGGGGGGCATGTTTTTATTTCAATTTACAAACAGGTTCTGACTGGTGCAGCCTCTACATTCTGTAAATAAATAATTAGATTAAAAAGAAAGGAGGAAAAATAATTACAAGGGATTTTCTTTTCGTTATAAGTTTTGTTTTAAAGTGCCATAGGCATCTATATTTTTACATGCTTTCAGAATAAGACAAGGAATGTCCCATGTGGTGGCAATATTAAACTCCTTGAAGATAACTTTTTTCTTCAGAGTTTTTATATGTGTTTTAATCCAGTGTGCAAACCAACAGGATCAGATGAATCATAACCAAAATTTCCTTTTCTTCCTCTGTGACATTGCATTTTTTTCTTTGTAGTGGTCCATTATAGTACTAATGCAAATATTATATTTCCTCTTAACGTCTTACTGTTAAAAAAACTGGCAGCTTAAGAGAGTCTTAATTTTTTAGAGTTTTTAAGGAAAGAAATATCAATATATGTCCAATCAGTGGAGGGAAAAGGAAAGCTGCTTTACAGAGACATCATTAACTTTGATATATTTTTCAGCTATCCTTAAATTAGGACAATCTTGGTTATCTTTCTTCATTCTCAGGTGGTTTTTATGGCTTTAACAGCCCTCTTTTGTAAATCCAGTAATGAGTCATTATCCAGGTTGTTTTTCATCTCTTGGCTTATCTTTTGTATTTCCGCTTTAGTTTTCATATCTGTTTTACAGTTGAAAACCTCTATTTTATTTTCTGGTATTTCTGTATATGCTGTGCTTTATTTCTTCATCCTGGCAATCTGTAAATTCTTCCAAATATTCTCCATCGCATCTTTCATTTCTTCTTTAAGATCTTTTTTTTTAATAGTGCATTTTCATGAGCGTATATTGTTGTTATTGTAGCTGCAAGCTTCTTTCACATTTCTTAAAAAAAAAAAAACTTTTGAAATGTCCCCAATGTAATACTGTTATCTGTCATCTTTGCAAGCTTCACTCCTGGTTATCAAATTCAAAAAGGTAGAAAACAGCCTTTTATTTTCATTTCCTTTTACCTCTATCTGGGATCTTTAGCCACATCTAGTGTCTCTTTTTTGTAATGACATAGTCTGTCTCAAATTTCTTTCGCTTCTTTTTTTTTCTTTTTAATCAACCAATCATTTCTTTCCCAAAAGACTAAACAATTTAGGATCCCACAAGGCTACTGTTTTGTTTTAAATTATTTCAAAAGTCTTAAAGTAAAAGTCATAATATTCCATATAGGAAATCCAATATTTCAAATTTGTCTAATCTCTTTGTTTCAAACTTTTTAAGTTTTAATACTAAGCACTGTATGTATAAAGTATTAATTGAGTTGTCAGTCATAATCTCAGTAAAATTAAGGGAATTTAAGAAAGTAATGATTAATTGAACTTTATTTTGATATGTCTACTCTGGCTGAGGAATTCTGGGAGTTGAAGTCCACAAGTCATAAAAGGGCCAAGTTTGAAGACCTCTGATATAGAAAGTTTTTATAAAGGGATCAACACACTGCCCCTGCCAAAGTTTCTGAAACTAGTTGCTTAAAGAAAGATAGTTATTTCTTTGAAGGACTTGTTATCAAAAATCTCACTTGCAAACCAATCCTCTCTTTTTTCAGACTCTCCAGATGCACTGTAAAATATCTCCCAGTTTTTCTAGCCATTCTAAGTGATGACAATGGGAATTGCAATCTATCATGTCTCAGAAGTGTCTGCTGTGGAAGATTTCTGTGAATCCTTTACTTTTAGCTTAGGGAAGCCATTGGCTCTTTGATCACATAGCATCACTTTGCAGCAAAGACCCCTAAAGAGAATATTCAGGAGACAGCAATGTCCCCATATGAAAGACACCATTCCTTGCTTCTGTCCTTGAGTTCTGGTTTACAGAGAAAACTCTACTTCCTGGATTTATTTGTTAAATATATGGCCCCTCTTACTACTTTTATCAGCATCCAGTTACATTGGTGCTTGCTAAATTTAAAAAAAAAAGATTTAATAAAAGTTTTTTGGGGGGAGGTAGGGTTAAAGCTGATTGTGGTTGTGAGTTTTCCATAGTTATGCTCCGTAACATGGAATAGGTTTTTTTTCCCCATTTGTTTGTCATAGTTATATCAGGAAGGAAAGTCCAGGCATGTTCAAACAATACTTTAACCTTATTCTCGTATTTCTGCTGCCCAGAATAAACATCCAAGAGTGTTTCTGTGGACAGTGCTTCAGATGATTGTTGTTTTTCTTTGCAGCTCTCCTTTGGGTAGGACAGACAAGACAATGCGCTTTCTCCCTCGAGCCATCATCTTAACTTGCGTAGGCTTTATTTCCCTGTTATGGTGGCACCATCATCTCTCTTCCCTTCAGCAGCAAGGTAAGATATCCCCCCCCCCATCCCTCATCTGAAAGCAACATTAAACTGCCTCAACTAGCCAAAGACATGTGTTGAGGAAATACAGGCAGTGGAAGGCACTTTCCTATGTTCTTAGAATCAAGGTATTTAATAGCTGTCTTGCAACAAAGGCCAAGGAAATTTTAATAAAGTTATTAAAAGCCAACCATCTCTAACAAGTATAGCTTCATTGGAGAAACACTCCTTCAAACCTGCCATATTCTCTTTCTCTTTTTATACAGACATATATCTGTTGCAGTTTATTAACTTTGCCAATGAATCCTAGCTCCATAGAGGATTAATTTTAGTGACCTAGGAGCACATAACAAACAAATAATAGTACTAGTATAACTTATACTCAGTTGTTTCCTTCTCTTCCTTTTCAAAAAGTATCTTAATAATATAAAAATGTAACTTTGTTGATATAGTATAGTAGCAAAATGAACACACCCAATAGGTATTTATTTCAAGTGTTCATTACTTGATTAGCAATTGGTGGTAAGAGAAAATATGTAAAACAACCTCTCTCCCAGCAAGCTATTGCAAGGGAAGATAAACTTGTCAACACCTGGGGTTTCACATTTTCCTTTCTGGAGGGCAAATTGTTGAAAGGGGTCTGCCTCACATGTTGTGTGGGTGGGCCCAGGCAACATTTATGAGAGGAGAGGTGGGTTTGCGGTCTTTTCCTAGTTTGGTGTAAGATAAAAATGTTTAGGAAAAAGCTATGTTAAGCCTATATCAGAGCCTATAAAAGCATTTGTGCAAGCTTCTTGTCCCCAAAAGTTAGGGAACAAAGTTGCTGGTTACTCAGTGGCACAACTGGAGGAGACTAAAAAAAGGGTGGGGGAGTTTGCAGTCATAAGTATCTCTGTGGCCACAAGGTCCTTATTAGAACTCAAAGGACAAATGTTATCATGCATCTGATGATACAGATTCTTGAATAGCTTTTCTCATCCTGTTTACAGACCATTTGACCATCGAAGAGAAGATTGACGTACCCCTCACATTTGATGCTCTGCTACATGTTCAACGGGTCAGAAAAAAGACATTGCGGTCTTTTTGCAGGAAAAAGAGCAAACTCACTAAACTTCCAGCTACACAAAAGGAAGCTTCCCAGGTACTCTCTTCTATTGCAGTGAATCACAAACTGAACTTCCTATATTGCAAAATACCAGCCACCGGGGTGGAAGAGTGGGAGCACCTGTTGGAAGTTATATTGGAGAAAGAAAATGTCACATTGCAGGTGCCTGTCCCCTATCACCAGGACTTTGGTAACAAAATGACCTTGAGCAAATATAACTTGACATCAATGGAAGCTCTGCTTAAAGCCTACACAAAAGTGGTTTTCATTAGGGATCCTTTCCATAGACTCATTTCTGCGTACATGCATCGGTTGGCAGAAAATCTAACCTTCAGAGAGTTCATTGACTACATCTTGTACATTGGATTGAAGAATGCTAGTGTTGAATGGACACCCTTAGTCAAGCTGTGTCATCCATGTCTTGTTCAATATGATTATATCATAATGTTTGGGTTTCTTGGCAATGAAGTGCACCATTTGATGCTCCGGACTGGATTTCCAGATAACATCCAGATGCCTGAGTTCATGGACTCCAAGTTCCAGTGGACATATACCTGGCTAGAAGAACAGATGTTCAGTGAATTATCCCTTGTGCAGAAGAAAAGGCTTTGCCATTTCTTTCGATTTGACTTTGATGCATTTACCTTTTCCAGAAGTTTGCTCTGGGACCTCATATGCATTTCTGGAAACAGTTAGGATTAGACATCAAAGAAGAATGCACAGAACTGAACTAATGAAGTGAAATCTCAGACTCTTACAAAATGGGGACCTACACTGGTAGCCTTGACATCTAGTGGAAACAAATTCCACAATGTAATTATGTGCTTTGTAAAGAAGTACTTCTTTTTATTGGTCCCAAATATTCTGGAGTTGTTCACAGTCCATTTTTTATTTTATGCTCCTGAATAATCTGCAAATGTTAGCACCTGACTTCTCACCTCTAATTCCATGTCATGTAGAAACAATTAAAAGCCTTGTCTGGATTCAGAGCTTTGGGGAAATTTTACTGTTCACATTCTCTCATAACAATGGGATCTATGTTGTTAATAATAGTAGTAATAATAATAATAACAACAACAACTGATTACAATCTAGACATGATCGAGTTGCTAAATTAATCCATTGGGCATTGTGTAAAAAATACAACTTGCCTGTGTCCGAAAAGTCGTGGGAACATAGGGTGGAAAAAGTTGTTGAGAATGAGAGGGTGAAGATCTTGTGGGACTTTCAAATACAGACAGATCGCCATTTGGAACACAATACGCCGATATCACAGTTGTAGAGAACCAAAGTGTACAGCTGATTGATATCGCTGTACCAGGAGATGCCAGAGTCAAAGAAAAAGAACTGGAAAAAGTTACAAAATATCACAACCTGGCCATCAAAACTGCGCAGTTATGAATGAAACGTGTAACAGTGGTACCCATTGTCATTGAGGCACTGGGAACTATGTCCAAAAACTTTGCAAAATACTTCAAGAAACTGCAACTTCTTACAATAACTCCAGCAATGTTACAAAAAACTGAGCTAGTCAGAACATCTTATATTTTAAGGAGATACCTGGTTGACACCTAAGATGCTGGTAGCAACCCGTATCAACCATCAGAGCCAGCCAATTTGAATGTTCAGTTGACCGAGGTTCATGTTTAATGAATAAAAGATAATAATAACAATAATAATAATAATAATAATAAAGTTGGATTGGACCTTGGAGGTCATCTAGTCCAACCCCCTGCTCAGGCAGGAAAACCTGTACCATTTCAGATAAATGTACTATTTGCATGGCTGCTGATGTGGTTCATGAACCTTTGGGGGATAAATTTTTTGAAAGCATTTTAAAGTCCAAAAATATAATATCCATCATATTACATCTACTAATGTGAAGTTCTCCATTTTGGCCTGTAGAGGATATAATCAACTGCAAAGCCCACCCTTAGCAAAATTGTTGATCTTCAGATAGCTGCTGGGTTTTTATCAAAGTGTTTTACACTAGTCTGCTCAGCAATAGCAATGCAGGAGAGTCTGCAGCACATTTGTACTACTGTTATTAATGGTATTTCATTTAAGGAAAACCAATTTGGGGGAACAAAGATCAAATTACTCAATATCTCAAGATTGCCAACTTGAAATGCCATCAGGTTTGGTAACTGGGGACAAGAAGTGTCCACTAGAGGCTATAGATTGTAATTGCTTGTTTCCCATTTAATCTTTTGAATGACCACTCTTTGAATTCTGTATTTTCCACATTATTCTTTTACTTACTGCAATACGGAGTTATATTCACACAATCAGAATCACTTTAAATTTTACTTTTGAAGATATAAAAATAACTGTTGTGACAGGACAGCTTTTAATATAGGACCAATATATTACTGCTCTGATGACATTTATAATGCTTTATGGAAAATATCCATGTATGTCTGGATGATTCAGTAGTGGTATATTGGTTTTTAAGAAGAGATTGGCAGCTTGAGCAGGTGGTTGGATTAGAAGACCTCCAACTCTGTTATTCTGCATTCAATTCTGTATAAATTAATGGCCCATATTTGATCTCTAGATTTGGCCACATCTAAGAAATAGAATTCAGATTGGAGTTGTAAAGAGAATACAAAATTTATTCCCAGTGACTGTAATCCCTGTAGGCAGATCTAGCTTCCCCAACATACATTTTGTGAAATACTTTCTCCCATAAATGAGAATGATTTTTATCTTTGACAAGGGGGAGGAACTAATGTGCTGCATTTGGAGGCCACTGATGAGGAGAAAACCTTCTTCCATTCAAGGCATAGTTGTTCCTGGCAAACCTCCAGGAGGGAAAGAAACTGTGTGTCCTGTGAGTCATCATAACATTATGTAGAAACAACAAAAGCATTTAAATACACGTTTATTTTTCAAAACGTTTCATTTAGAGCAGACATCCAGATTAATCATAAAAGAGTAAGCTCATTCAGAAATGTCTGTAATGTATGCAGATAAAATTAATCTGTCTGCTTCCTGGAAAAGTACCCTTCCTGTGAAGAATCATTAATAAGAAGATGTTATTGATAGCTATCCCTTCTTTCGCAAATACCACGCAGCAGGTACATTTAATTTGAATCCCTAACATCACTTTTTTAATATAATATTTTATTAATTTTCCAATTTTACATTTGAATATTTAAAAAGCAATGTGGTGACTGGGTTAGTTCAATAACGAAATCTTAGTGCAAATCTCAGGTTACAAATCAAATATTTCTTCTCTTTTTCCCTTAACATTTACTGTCTCATATTTAGGTTAGTACATTTCTAATTATATCAACTCAATAAGAACATCATTATTACATTTATCAATATTTTTTTAGCTTATACGTATCTTAATTACATTCAATCTTCATAAACAATCCATATCCTGTTCTTGATTTTTACTCAATTTTTAATTTCTTATCAATACTCCAATTTAACCTTTGATATTTATAATTTTCAGATTTTGGGTAACCAAAATTTCCCTTATCTCACTTCATAACAAACTATAATATCCAAAATACACATTTTATCTATTTGAATATAATCTTGTTCTATTTCCTAAGAGTTATCTATTTCCCACCATATTAAATCATCTATTTACTAACACAATATCCCCTTTTAAGTCTAATTTTTAAATATTAAATCGATAAAATCCTTATTTTCAACTGGTTTCTAAATATTTTAAGTCTAATACCAAAATTCCCCTTATCTCAACCCTTTAACTCTCTAATTGGCAATATAAAATCCCCTCTAATGAATCAAAATCACAGTTTTTTCAACCTTATTCTAGCTTTCTTCCTTTGCCAACTAGGCTTCCATATCAGTTTTAAAATGTGTGAATTTTGGACATATTCACCCTGAGTACAGAATTGCAATAATAATAATCCTAGCCTACACATAAAAGTATCATAGCACAAAATGGATAAAAGGAAAAAAATCAATATTCATGTAGCGGAGTGTTTGGTTAAATAAACACTACACTGAACAAACAATATAGGGCAAAAAATGGGAAGACAGTATTCCCTAATAAGCCCCCACAAATTGTGCTTTTGTGCAATCCCACAATCCTCAGTTTAGCCTATCCATTTTTTGACAAAATTAAACTGAAGATTATGCTCCATAGGTTGTGAGAAAAATAGCTTTCTATGATATATACACATATAGGTTACTGATATTCTGTTCATGCCAACTCAAAAGTAAGTCCCACTGAGTTCAATAGATCATAATCCCATGGATTTGGATATTGGATCATTATAGGCTTTGCATCTCCTCCCTGGGGTGATTGTCTCACTCTGACTAAGGAAATAACACTGATTTTACTCTAGCAAATTTGCAAGAATAGGAAGCTGCAAACAGGGGCCAAAAGTGCCTCTGTTAGACATTAAACTACCTCTCTCATTCTTAGTACACAAAAGGAAAAGGAAACAGTGGCCTCTCTTGACTGTCTTACCGTCTTCAGTGATCCATCCAAAAAATTAAGACGAAATTAGATGTTATGATGATGATTAATCCACTGCAGCTAAAGCTACATTTTTGAGGCTGGGTACCATGACTGCACTTGAAAAGTGAACATATACATAGTGTTTCCCTGATCTTCACTGCAAGCTTAAAGGAACCATTGCAATCTTTCTGTTCACAAAAGAAAAGTAATTTTCTCTCTCCCTTTGTTACATATAACATCTGCAATAATTTATCAACAATAACATTTTTCTTGATCAACGTCAATGCTTCCACAATTACATTATAACGCTTTCTCAATCAGTAGACACGGAATACAGTTCTGATTTCAGCTTAGAGGTGCTGCTTTGTTGGTCCCTGGAGCTAATTTCTAGAGATGTCTTCATTCATACGCTCACAGACCATGGTTTGAAAGTTCCTGGTTCAGCAGGTGGACACTAAAAAGAAAAAAAATAGGGTGAGAACAAATTATAGATGCTTCAATTTTTTTGCATTTCAAGGTAGGGCTGAAAATAGCTTCTACTTGAAATCCTAAAGTCCTGAATCAATAACACTGGACTTCATGGGCCAAGAGTCATTTTTAAGGATGAGGAAAGATATTAATTTTGTTTTATCTTAATAGTTTCTGCAGCTATGTTGAATTCAATTCATCAATCGTGAAACAATTTAAAAAAAAAGTTGTACTAACAATTGCCTGAATTTAGGAATACACTTCTCCACACATGTGTAGTTTTGTTTGCAATTGTACCCAATGTTTAAAGTTTTGCAAATCATTTTTGTAATAAAATATATCATGGTGCATTATTTCCATCAATATCTGCATTTTGATGGACTTTTCCTTAATATACTTGACTGCATGGGCAACTTCTAAAAGACTCTTATTTTAGAAAAAGTGTTCTTTAGTGTACCAGTTAAAAGACTAAAGTTCAAGTCAGAAATCTTTGTTCAAATCTTGCTTCTCCCATGGACTCGCAAGGAAATCTAGTTTGCCACGAAGATTTCAAGATCATAAATTTTGAATCCTTGAAAAGCACCATAAAATTGTTGAATGTTGTGATTACCAAGTGTTTGGGAAAGCCTTTACCAATTCAAAGCTGGGTCCTTATTCCTGTTGATCTAATGCTTAACTAATTATATTTGCAGAGGAGAATAGGAGATAAATTAACTTACCAGTTTGGTGAAGGAATCAACACAAGCATTGCGTATTCTTTCTGGAGTAGCTGGACTATCTAATCTGAATATTCCTTTCAGTCCAGATTCTTCCCTTGCAGAGACAATTGCATCTTTGATAGCATAAAATACAGAGGCTGCTAAGAACAATGGAGGCTCACCCACAGCCTGTGGAGATAAAAGGGCAAAAGGCCATGAAATCTTCCATCAAAAATGTATTTTCAGCATATAACAAGATATACATATATAATGTACCAATTCACAATTTCACTGGACCACATACTGTGGAATTACTAGGTACAGTGGTGGAAAAATGTATCTTTTGTGCATAATTTGTATGTTGTATTCCATGTTATGCTCTTATTTGACATCATCAGCTAATTTGTGAACCATCACAATTGAATAACTCCAATATGATGGAGGCAACAATGTATCCATTTTCACTTTTACAGACTTCTAATCGTATGGGAAGGAGTGCCTGAAGAAGACAGATATATATGTCTGTTAGGGAATTACTCCAGGACCAATAAGCAGTGATATTATTGATCTTGTATAATGTTTAATTAGAGAAATTAGGTATGTAAAATGCATTAGCTCAAATGGAATTGTATGTGATTCAGCATGTTGTGTGAACTTGCTCATCATATTGAGCCATAGTATTGTTTAGCTGCTATTTACAGTATTTTGTTAAGCTGCATTTAGGATTTAAAGTGGTCTCTGCATTCAGCCAAAGAGTACTTAATTAGTGGAGAAACATTTACAATATAATAAATTTTCTATGGTCAGTAAACAAAATGAGCAATTTCAGTGCATCCTGTAGTAAGGTCATTAAAATGTCTTAAGGTAAGGCAGGATAATATGGAAGAGATAAATGGAGTTGTTAACACATAATATTTACATTCCTCAGTGTAATAATATGAAAATCATTATGCTCTGGTGCTCCAACTAATAAGTTCTGACTCAGCATCGGCCTATCCTATAAATACTACAATGTTTTAGAATGGTGGGTGGAAAGAAAGAATAAAAGAGAATCATAAAAGGAAAGGGAGAAAGAAAGATATTCTTCAATGCAGCATAGAATTAATCCAGTGATATTCATCACCTAAAGCAGTGGTTCTCAACCTGTGGGTTGGGACCCCATTTGGGGTCGAATGACCATTTCACGGGGGTCGCCAAACAACGCAGTCCGCCATTTTTTTCCCCCTTTGTTTTAGCTGTGCTACTTCCTTTTATTCTATTGGCTTTTGAAAACCAATAGAATAGACTCTCTTGAATAGAGTCTAATTCTATTGGCTTTCAAAAGCCAATAGGAATTGTCTAGGCTGTTTCTGCCCTGCTGAGCCCGCCAAAAGTCCCATTCTGCAAACGGTGCTGCACCAGTTGAGTAGTCCTCGACTTACGACCGGTTGAGTAGTCCTCGACTTAGGACCAGTTGGGGGTCGCAGCATTAAAAAGGTTGAGAACCACTGACCTAAAGTATACTTGATTGTATTCTGGTTACTGACTGAAGCAAGCAAAGCAAGGTCCCATGTTGCCAATTGTTATGAAATATCTGGAATACAGAAGACATGAGAAGAATGTTCTGCACTGCATATATGTTAATTGACAAATGGAGAAATTTATTTCCCAGTGAGATATTTACCTTAGATGAATAAATGGCTTTGCTATTTGGACAATCCCGGAGAAGAGAAACATGGAACTCTGATGGAATGTCACCGAATGCAGGGATCTTGTACATTCCAGGGCCCCGTGTATACAAGTTGCCTTCTGGAGAATAGCGTAGCTCCTCCAGAGTAAACAGCCCAATTCCTTGGACAAATGCTCCCTCAATCTGAAAAAAATAAATCAAGTCCAAATTTGTTCTTTTCTTTTTTCTTCCCCATCCCTTTGGTAACCATTGAAAGATTTAAAAAACAAATATGGTACAGGTTTCTGCAGACACACTTAGGCCAGCTTCCTAAATGCTTAATTGTGACTGCAATCCTATTCCCATGTTCTTGGGAATAGGCCCACTGGGTTCATTAAGACTGTGTGTAAACTTCATCATCAAACTAATAAAACTGCTCAGTCCAAAGACTTCAGAGCCAGACGGCAATTATTTAGTGATTAAGAAAAACAGTGTTTGCAGACATTTATATAAATTGCATTACATGATTATTGCTTAAATGAGTGGCAAAGTAACTAATAAAATTATAACAAATATATTGCTTTACCATCTGTTTGTAAGCAATGATTTAAAGTGTATGATTGCTAATGCATTGGGACAGTATACTGAACTGCATTAGCAATAAATGCCAAACTTCGTTGGTCCTCCTCTCAGGTATGGCCACGAAAGGCAGATCCAATTGTTCTGTTCAGATGCTGATTCTGAAGTGCTTTTTCAGTAAGCTATTCAGATAACCCCCTCCCCTCCTCTCTCTGCCCTTTATTATGATAAGGTTGGCCTCTGTCCTGGAATCTACATGTTCCAAGGAAGTCCGTTTTGCACTTTTGCACATACAGAGTAAATGTTTGCATGATCCTGACTCAAACATATTTTGTCTTTCATGCATGCATATACATTCCTCCTGCAGACATTAACACCAAACCTGTGAGTATTAAAAGGAAACTTGTTATTTGAGTAATGTTAGTAGAAAACATGAAATGCACAGTGAATACTCCAATTCAAGTGGCACCTGAATGGGGCTTGTTTCCAAACTTTCCAAAACGTATCTATTCTAACTAATTGTAGTTATTAAGAAAACTAAACCATGTTTGTACATTTTGAAAGTGGCTTGTTTCCCAAAATCATAGATAATATGCATTAAAAAAATGTGCTCTCTTGTAGAGACAGGTGAAGTTGATGAGCAGCCAGAGACTCATGCTAAGACATTGCTATTAGACCCAAAAATGGTTAATGTCATATTGTAGATGAAAAAAGCGATGTTAATGTGTAGTTAAGAACATGAAACATAAATGTAAAAGTCCTTGTGAACAGTTCTTATCTACAAGAACAACATCTGCAGATGAGGTTTGGAGTGTACCTAATATAATAAATTTAACAAAGTTAAATGTTAATCAATACCAGTTTTAATTTTACCACATATTGAAGGTTTGGCAGCTCAAGTATGTATATATTCAACTGTACTATATGTGTAAATATGTGGTTCTCAATCTTTCTGGCTTGGGGGACCAGCAAGGGGAGGGAGCGGGGATGGTTCCCTGTGAATGGTTGGAGTGTGTACCTGCCACTCTTGAGCAAATGGAGCTTCATGCGTAAGTGCAAGCACCCACTGCTCATGCAAGTGGAGATGTGTGCATGTGCACGCTCCCCCCCTCCCCCACTTGCATGGCCCTGGTTCAAATGGGTCCTATCCCAGTAGTGGCCTGTGGTTGGGGACCCCTGTTCTAAATAATGGGTTTGTGGCATGATATTTTGTTGATAATACTCATAGTTGGCTACATATCTGAATTTAGTAATTTAGGTGAACTGCAACACAGGTTAAAATAGAAAGCTCAATTTCTCCAAAACATGTGAGCATTGTCTGAAATGAATCTACACTGTAATGAACAAACCATTTTCCATTTTCCAGCTGGCATAAAGATATATGTCATGTGCAAAACACTTGAAGGCTAACACAAACTGATAATAAATTAGCAATTAACAGTTCCCTATGTTAAAAAAGTTCACAGTACTGCTGCTGTTTATCAAGCCTTTTGCTGATTATTAACCATTTTAATCTGTCTGTTTGTATACACATCTATTTTAGCTTCACAGAGTACAGACAACTTGCACTGCTTACCTGTCCTATATCTATAGCTGGATTCAGGCTGGTGCCAACATCCATCACAACATCAGTGTAAAGATTCTAAATATCGAAACAAATAAAAGCTCAGTAAACACAAGGCTAACCACATATTAGCTAAATATGAATCACATTTGACTTGATGTTTTTATTCATATGTTTCATGGAAGAGCAAAGTTTTCATCTGAGCTGTAACTATCCAGGTCAAAATTCCTAGATATTGATGTTGACAAGACAACTCTCAGTGTGCCTTAAAGATCTCAATGCAATGCAATGCAATGCACAACACAATGCAACACAACACAATACAATACAACATAACACAGTACTTGGTGATTTAAAAAGTTATCCTGATGATAGAATTCATTGCTTAAAGCTGCAGCTCTTTGGAGTTAAGTGTCATGATGGCCTTCACAGTTGTGGAAATCTATCATCACTATGAAATTAATGATTAAAACAAAATATAGATATAAAAGATTATAAAAATTATTAAAAAGATTATAAAAATTCCACCACAAATTTGGAAGTGATTATACCAATTTCATACCCAGATGAATCCACCAAATGGTTTTTTAAAAAAAAAACAACTATATAAACCGAGTAAAAAAAAATAAGCACAGAGCAAAAGATTTACTGAAGTCCACAGAATGAATGTAAAGCCAAGACTATCTTATCCATTAAATACACTCTTAATTATTATAGAATGTTCCTCCTTACATGAAAATGAAGAAGTGCTTTTAACTATTTAGTAACTCTGCTTACCTTATGGTCACCGGTCAGACAATCTATCTCAACCACAGAACAAGCGACACCATAGGAGAAGTAATTGAAAGGCTTTCCTTCATTCTTCGAGAAGTCATAGCCAACATTAGGAATTCTTAACAGAGAGGGAACAAAAGGAGGAAAATATAAAATTAAAAGGCAATGCATAAACTAATGTATGGATATGGTCAAGGCAAGGTTGGTTTGCAAGAATAAAAAGAGATGGAGAAATATAGCATATAGTGTGGGGAAAAACTAGATTAGCTACATTTCATTTTCTTTTGTTTATGATAGCTTTGATCTCTCTGAGCTACTATTTCTCATTTTTCTGCACATTGCTGACCCCAGAAGGAGATGGCACGAAGAATGTATTAATACGCATGTACAGATTTTATTATCATTGCAGTAAAATCATTGATTGTGATTTAGTCTAATGTTGTTAGGTCAGAATATCTGAAAGTTAATAAAGTGAAGCAATATAGGGGATTCTGAAGATCCAAACATAATTCTTATTAATCAAGGGGACTGGAATCAAGACAGTTACACTTCCAACCTGGTCCCCAAAATCTGGAGGTAACATTCTGAGAGGGCCAGAGCAGAAGAATTGCTTCAGTTATTCCATGAAATAAGCTGCACTTCTTCCATTTCTTTGTTACAGCATTCTTTCTCCTTGTCCTCTGGCCTTCAGCCACAAGAACATTTAGCTGTTCTCTCTAATTCTTATGTATTATTAGAGCATGCAAATATCGTGACTCAAGACAGGACTGCAGTCTGGGATTTCAAAAAAAAGTGGAGCTAACAAGCCTATTATGTTAATAGAATGCTGATAAGAGACAACTCTATTGCATCTTCTTTATTGTAAACCCATTTTATGAAATTAGCTTATCTAAATCCCCAACAGCAGAAATAATACCCAAATTCCAAAGCTGATGACGTTTTGCAGATCTTCTCTCTGATAGTTTCACTCACCTGTAAAATCCTGTAGCTGATAAACTCACACAGTCATGATAAGCTGCTAACACCTAGTGAAAAAAAAGCATATAAAATTTTGTTGGGCTTTTCTCAAACTGGAATAATTGTAATTTCCTGAGTGGAATGGAAATGTTTCATTGAGTAGCACAAGTATTCATAAGGAAAACATTATCAACAAAACATTAAAAAAAAACTTCTTCATTAAATTTGTTTGCCGCTCATCTCACTACAATTGAAAGGCAGGAACACCCAGGAATCTGCATGGATATATCATCAGGAATCAAGCTTGATTACCATCCTGTATCAGATAAAAATACAGGACACTTTTATCACTACCACTCCTTGAATAGGGCACATCCTGTACAGACCACAATGACATGATCTGTCAGCATTAGAGCTAGGAAATGGTAGTAGTTGCCTCCCACAAAGTTCCATTTATTCTGGAAGATGCAATACAACATTAATATAGAATCAAAATGAGATATGTCTACAATATAATGAAATATGAAGCAGTTAAGAAAAATAGCATGGGAGAAAGCTAATTAGAATTTGCAAAAAAAAAAAAAAAAGGAATAGTATATATAGGCAGCACATTTATGCTATACTTCCAAAATTTTAACTTGCACCAAATGAAAACATACCCAATCTTCCCATGATCCTTTTGGGTTAGCACATCTGAATGGCTCCAATTGTTTTAAGATGGTCTGGCAAGCGTTCTAAAAAATAATCCAAAACAAAAAACATTTTGTTACAAAGATGATCTCTACTGTGCCTGCAGATTGCAGTTAAGTCTATATCGTTTTATTTGTCTGAAACTGACCTCAAATGAATAAAAATATAATGACCTGCTTTAGACCTAAAATTTCCATGTCAGGCACTTTTGAAGCAGCAACTCTCATATACTGTTGTCCTAAAACAAAATCTGCTAAGAGATTCTCAGAATGCCCACTTTTATAGTGCAAATTAGATAAACTATTTCTTGAACTCCCAAGCCAGACAGACTTGTGCTAACAGCAATGATTGTATAAGTCAAACTTTTCTAATGTGGAATTTGGCCATGGAAGCTAAAAATTAGAATTTGATACAACACATCTGGCAGATAAAAGATTATGGAAAGGTATCACAGAGATAGTTTAGAGTCTATTATTATATCATTGTTTATCTCAAATTAAGCATCACTGAAGTTTAATGACCAGTTATTATCATTCCCAATGCTGCTACTTTGATCAGCAGTAGAATTCCAGGGTCTAAGACAAAGGATTTTCCCACCAACATATTAATAATGGAACTCAGTCATTTATTTAACCATTTCCTTTTACATTAAACGTTGTATTGATAACAAATTTTTGTGATTGCTGGGGAGTGAGGTTATAGCCAAGTCAATTGTAGGGGCTCTCTGCTACAAACTGATAGCTACAAATTTGTGTATAAGTAATATTCCTTACAAAAACAGCCATCCCATTGATATCAGCACTGACAGAAGCAGCTGTTGGTGATGTATTTGGTACCGTGTTGGTGCTTGTCTCACTTATATGGATCTTAGAGGTAGGGATTCCCAGAGTCTTGCTGGCAACCTACAAAGAGAACATTGGATTCATTGTTAAATGTTAGACAGCCACAACCCAAAGAAACATAACTTTAAGAATAGCTGTTTCCTTTTTTTCTAAATGAAAAAAAAGAAAAAGAAAAAAGCAAGCCATCCTGGCTTCCATCAAATAAAAGTTATAATACAGCAAGGGAAATAAAGGGGGGAAGATACAGATTTTAATGGGGTATCTACATGTCAAGAGGCTTACAGGATTTCAGAACCTGTTATCATAAATAGATGTAGCTGAACAAATGAGGTATATATTAAAACAGCACAGGCTTTTATATACATATTCCTAATTTACCTGGATCATCTTGGTGTGCAGACCTTGACCCATCTCAGTCCCACCATGTGTAAGCAACACCGAACCATCAGTGTAAACATGTAACAATGCACCACCCTATCACCAAAATTAGAGAAATAAACTGTTAAGATCTGTTTGAAATATTGTTGTCTCTAGGGCACATTTTTAGTTGTAGTCTTCCGTCTTTCATATGCTTTCATTAGGAATCAATTGAACTGATGCCAAATTATTAATATTAGTAGCTCCATGGAATTTAATCATAAGTAGCACATCCAATCTTCAACTGTGGCTTCATCCAGACTATATAAACATACATAGAAGAAACACACATACAAAAAGGTATAGAACCATATTTTATTTACAGAGCACTATAGGGCTGAAACCTATGTGAAATTCAATCTATAGTTGAAGGCTTCCTTATTGATGAGAATCATGTTCTACTTATGAATGACCAGACACATCATTACTGAATCCAGGCCACAATGTATAGCAAGCTGGGACTATATAAATATAGATCCCCATGTTTTCAGAATTTATTAATGCAGTCGTGTAGCTGACAGAAGTTGTTTCATATTCAACTGAAGCTAAAAAAAATATTTTTTACACAAATCAGCATGCTATTAGTTTATGAAGATCTGAATTATGAGCAGGCAAAGTGAGCCGGTTCCTTCAACTAGTAGATAGAACAGCAGAAAGTTGGGCAGGAAACAGCAGCTAGGTGTTGGCAGACAGAAGTGTGAAAAATATCATGCTTCTTGTCTGCTGCTGTCAGGTATGATGGAGCATGTTGTCCTTACATTAGTGCTGATGTAGAGCCATCTTGGGCAGGTAGCAGTATCTTTTGCTTCAATCAGAAAACTCAATGTTTTGGTCCAGCACTTTAGAAAATGAGATCATAAAGATAGTTGCTGTCCTCACCTGACATCCAGTCATTCTGAAGTTCAGATAGAATCTGTCCTAATATAACTGTATACGTTTGGTGCAATCTCTATAAAAAAAAATCTGTTTCCAAAGTCTGAAAACACATGAAGCATGGGAATTCTATTTTTAAATGAAGAAGGACACTAGAGGCCCATAGGCTGTCTGAGTAAAAACAAAAAACAAAAAAAAAAAAAACGGATGCTTGCCAACCTGATTCAGAAAAGGAACTGTGAAGCTGATCCCAAACTTGGTAGGAATAATGGCTATGCCCCTCTTCTTCCAGCGATTCTTCCTGGGAAAACAGAAGAATATCAGACTGGCATGCCTTTCCAAATGCATTCCTCCTAAGCAAAGACATTATTTTGCAAAACAAATCTAGCATCCAGTCAGTAAATTTTATAAATAAGAAACATTATTACTGAGGGCAGCCTTGTAGTATTGAGTATAATGTTCAAAAGGATTCATCTAAAGTTTAAACCAGATTGTGTACAAATCTAAATATATACATTTTCACTGCATTTATATATCACAGGGCTTCCCCCCCCTTTTTTTCTTTGCATTTAACCTCGATTTATTTTTCTTTTTATCTCTGAATTTTTGAAGGCTTCTGTCAGCATTTCATAGAGAACTGGAGTAATAAACCAATGCAGCTTATCTCATTTGATCTATGATATTTTATTTTAAGCCCACAGTGGGAGTGATTCCCTAATGATCAAACCCATACAAGCTAGCTGCTTGAGGGAGATAATAACTTGTATTGAGTCCCAAATACAAGACAAAATTCAAGGACATCTAGTACTAGTAATACAAGAAATTTTCTACAGTAGTTGTACATTGCTTCCTTAGTGCCAGTGTGCTAGCCCTCTGCATCCTCCCTCTCCAGTCTTCAGCTACTGGTCATAAGAATCCATATGAATCCAGCCTTGTCCTTCAAACAATAAAAAATGATTGAGAAAGCTGTGGGAAGTTTCTCTATGAATCATATTAGCAGCTACTCCAGTCTGTTTATAGCAGTTAACGAAAGGGGTGGCCCTGTTGTATGATACACCAAGATTTTTTTTTTTCTGAACAATACAATGCAATGTGATAATGCTCCTCCATGTTTTTTGTCCCAAATGTATTCTTATATTTTTTGAATGTCGCATTTTTCTGTCATTCATGTGTGTATGTGAATAAAATCTGGAAAAAATACCTTAAAGTGCCCTGAAATAGATATTTGTTGTTATCTAGCTACATGAATGCATGCATAATACACAGAAATAGCCTAAATTGCCTTATTAATTAGCCTTATAGTGATGGTGGCAATAGAGTTTGTTTCAGGAATAATGCAGTAACATAAAACATACATCAATGAAATTACAATTTTGACAGAGGTCCATACATTCTTCTGCCAAATCTATTCACTTTGATTAGCAGAGAATGTATTTCAGACAACTGGGTATAATGCTGCTACATGGCAATCTTTAGAATGAAAATAATCCATATGAGATGATTCCAATTTGCAGTAAAATCAGAAATTATCTGTAAAAAATAAGATACTCACTGGTTGAACTTCTCAATGTCTCTTCTTCTGAAATGATACTTCGATTTTGCAAGGCACTCTTCCCAACATCGTTTCAAGCTGAACCCCTCAAGCTTTTGGTCAAAATGAGTTAGATCTCCTTCATTGTATAGATTGATTTTTCGTACCTTTTCAGAACAAAAGAGAAATGGACAGACTTCAGTTCTGAAATAATTGGGATCTTTTAAACAAACAAGCAGAGCTTTAGCAACATATTGAACTCTAATCTGAAATAGAACTTCTTGAGCAAAACACATTCATCATCCCATCAATATTCAGTAGAATGAAGAAATAGGACACAATTGCATGATGCCTAATAAGATGTTTATATCCAGTTAATGAAACAATCTGATTATCAGCATCAATGATGAAATCAGGCTCAATGGAACTATGTGAATAATGTATGCACTCAAAGCCAGGTGAAAATAATGCTAACCAAGTTATAACAGATAGGGGATAAGGAGATGGTGTCCACAGAATGCTTGAGATCTAGTCTAAGTCCAAGAACACTGCAAATATATGAAGAGTAAATAAATGTTTGGAATTCAAAAAGAAAAGCATAAAGGAGAGCGCTGGCACTAGCCTTTCACCAGAAATGTTGGCTACATAGATGAGGAGGGAAGGGTATCTAATTTGATCCTTTTCCTTCAGGCCAAAAGGATGCACCAATTCCAAGAAAGAAATTATGGCCCACTGCTTTCACATAAAAGGAAACTGAAAGTTTTGATAGGTACGAGTAATTATGAGAGTATTGTAACTTGCTTTCTGCAAAATTATATCTCGGTGAGCACGTACCTCTTCTGCTGGCAGCCCACACTTCAAGGCTATCTCGCTCATCCAGCATTCAGCAACCATCATTCCCTGGGGACCCCCAAATCCACGGAAGGCTGTGTTGGAGGCCAGATTCGTTTTACAGACGATACCGATACCTCTGATATTTGGGATGTTGTAGGAATTGTCCATGTGAAGCACAGCTCTGTCCATAACCTGGGGAATAAATTTAAATAAATAAATAAATTGTGTGAGGGGTGAGGCTTGGTTTTTTGTTTCTTTCTTGCTGTCATTCCTGTGCCAATAGTTACAAACTGAATATTTTCTGCACATTTTTACATAAAATGCAAAAAAATATGATGTTATGCATTTGGGTCAATATAAAAGGGGGAATGCATTTGGGTCAATATAAAAGGGGGAGAAAACGACATTGCCATAGGTGTATACTATAGGTCACCCAACCAAACACAGGAAATAGATGAACTTTTTGCTAGTCAGCTAACTAAGGTATGTAGAAGCACATCACAATAGTAATGGGGGACTTTAGCTACCCTGACATCAACCTGGAGACAAACTCTGTACCAAGTGGAAGATCAAACAGATTTCTGACAAACCTAGCAGACAATTTTGTCTCCCAAAAAGTAGAGAAGGGAACTAGGGAATTAGCCATTTTGAATCTAATTCTCACTAACAGAGATGAAATGATAGGTGTTGAAGCCATAGGAACCTTGGGAGGAAGTGATCATGCAATATTGGAATTCAACATTATGGAAGCACAAGCAATAGAACACAGTCAAACTAAAGCCTTGGACTTCTAGAGAGCTAATTTCAATAAACTTAAAGAGGGTTTGGGAAGGATTCCATGGATGAGAATCCTCCAGGGGAAAACAATTCAAGAGGCTTGGGAAATTTTGAAAAGTGAGATAATAAAGGTCCAGTCTAGCACAATACCAACAAAGAGGAAAAATAACAGCTCTCAAAAGAAACCAGCATGGCTGCATAAAGAACTCTCTGATCAATTGAAAGATAAAAAGGACAAGTATAGAAAGTGGAAAGAGGGACACATAACTAAGTCAGAATATCAGCAAATAGCCCGAGCCTGCAAAGACAAAGTGAGGAAAGCTAAGGCTCAAAATGAACTAAGGCTTGCAACCAAAGTCAAAAATAACAAAAAAAGCTTCTTTCAACATGTAAAGAACAAGAAAAAAGTGAAATAAATGATTGGTCCATTAGTGGGTGAAAGTGGCAAGAAGGTGACAAGCAACAGGAAGAAAGCAGAACTATTTAATTCCTTTTTTGCATCTGTCTTTACACAAAGGGAAAAAACAGACCAACCTATCAAAAATAGTGCCATAAAAAACAAAATAGAAATACAAGTTAAGATAGGCAAGAAAATGGTAAGTGAACACCTGTCCAGCCTAGACGAGTTCAAATAACCAGGACCAAGGTTCTCAAGGACCTGGCAGATGTGATCTCAGAACCACTGAACTATATTTTTCAAAGTTCCTGGAGCACTGGGGAACTATCAGAGGACTGGAAAAGAGCTGATGTAGTTCAAAAAAGGGGGAAAAAAGGACCCAGGAAATTACAGAACTATCAGCCTGACCTCAATACCTGGGAAGATTCTGGAAAGATAAACAACCAATCAGCAAACACCTACAGGCAAACACAGTCATTACTAAAAGCCAACACAGGTTTGTCAAAAAGAGATCATGCCAGACAAATCTTATTGCATTCTTTGACCAAGTGACAAAATTAGTGGATCAGAGGAATGCTGTGGATATAATTTACTTGGATTTCAGTAAGGCATTTGATAAAGTAGATCACAACCTACTACTTGACAAAATAGAAAAATGCGGGTTAGACAGCACCACCACCAAATGGATCCATAGCTGGCTGACCGGCCATACTCAGCATGTGGTCCTCAATGGAACCACCTCTACATGGAGGGAAGTGTGTAGTGGGGTGCCCAGGGCTTTGTTCTGGGCCCAGTGCTCTTCAACATCTTCATCAACGATTTGGACGAGGGGGTAGATGGAGAAATCATCAAATTTGCAGACGACACCAAGCTGGCAAGAATAGCCAACACTCCAGAAGACAGGCTTAGGATACAGGAGTATCTGGACAGACTTGAACACTGGGTACTATCTAACAAAATGAAATTCAATGATGAAAAAAATAAGGTTCTACATTTAGGCAAGAAAAACCAAATGTACAGGTATAGTATAGGGGGTACCTTGCTCAATAGTAGTAACTGTGAGAGGGATCTCAGAGTCCTAGTGGACAATCATTTAAATATAAGCCAGCAGTGTGCTGCAGCTGCCAAAAAAGCCAACACAGTGCTGGGCTGCATTAACAGAGGGATAGAATTCAAGATCACATGAAGTATTAATACCACTTTACAATGCCTTGGTAAGGCCACACTTAGAATACTGCATCCAGTTTTGGTCACCATGATGTAAAAAAGATGTTGAGACTCTAGAAAGAATACAGACAAGAGCAACAAAGATGATTAGGGGACTAGAGGCTAAAACATATAAGGAACGGTTGCTGGAATTGGGTATGTCTAGTTTAATGAAGAGGGGGGACATGATAGCAGTGTTCCAATATCTCAGGGGCTGCCACAAAGAGGAGGGTGTTAAGCTGTTTTCCAGGGCGCCTGAAGGCAGGACAAGAAGCAATGGGAGGAAACTAAGCAAAGAGAGAAGCAACCTAGAACCAAGGAGAAACTTCCTGACAGTTAGAACAATTAACCAGTGGAACAACCTGCCTCCAGAAGCAGTGAATGCTCCAACATTGGAGGTTTTTAAGAAGAGATTGGACAGCCATTTGTCCGAAATGGTATAGGGTTTCCTGCCTGAGCAGGGGTTGGACTAGATGACCTCCAAGGTCCCTTCCAACTTTACTACTACTACTACTACTACTACTACTACTACTACTACTACTATTATTATTATTACTATTATTATTATGCATGCAAAAAAGAGCTTCAAAGTTAAATCAAACTTATTGTTTCATCATAACTTTATTGGTGAGCATTTATAAGTCTCAAGCACTCTCTTCACTTTTTAATCTTAAGCAATTTTGGAGCTTTGCATCACAAGAAGCCTAGCATGGATTCCCAAAATCTATGTGGATTTCTGATATCACTGACCTCTGGAAACCAAATAAACTTGAATAATATTGAGCCTTTCTTGATATGTTACATTAGACCCAATTTAGGGGTCAAGTCCCCTCAATATCTGACTTTCTGATTAGTATCATTTTGCCCTTGTATGCATTATAGTTATCATTGTTTCTATTCTAATTTACAGTAAGCTATCCTTGCTATTTCCCTATTCTACCAGACAAAGGATTCTATGGAATTCAAAAAGCTTGTTCGTTCCTACAACTCCTGAAGTTGGTTCAAATGAATCAGAGTAGACAGTGCTTTCCACTCACCCCATGGGAAAGATCAACAGAATTTCCTCCATTGCTGTAATATGATACATCTAGGCTAGTAATCCTTCCATTTTGCTTAAAGCCAACCTGGGAAAAGCAGAAAATGACTATTTTGTAGAATTCAATTATTCCAGTTACAGATATTCTGATATTCATTTAACTGAGCTATTTAGTTTTGAAAGGCAGGCTTTCGTGAAAGCTATTATTAGAGGACTATTTTTACACAAAAAAGACAATTTCTAGCTAACTCTCTAATGGTTAAGGCACGCGGCATGAGTTTCAGTCCTGTCATAGGTGTGAAAGACATCTGTATAACTCTGGGCTTGTCATTTTCAGTCCAATCCACCTCAGAAAAATGGGAAGTGGAACGATTAAGGAACATATTAGATACGATTATTTTATAAAAATAAAAAGAGGGATAAAATCCATCAATAAAATAAACTAATGAATAAACATATTTAGAATGAAAAATATATTTGTTCTTTTTATATTATATTACTCGCTCCACAATATAGACTGAACAGTGAACTGTTTCACTCATAACAAGTATAATCTTTTTAATACTCCTATTAATTTTTATTTACCTTATATTGTGCCCAAAATGGGTGCCTTCCACCAGAAATCAACATATCTTCATCTCGATCAAGCATGCATCGTACTGGGCAGCCAGTCCTGTAGAATTAGGCTGAGAGTGAACCTACTGCAAAGGTGTCACAGTAACAATTTATATCAGAGGATAACACACGAGGCTCTTTTCTAAGTGCTTTGTGTTTGTGAATAAACCTTTCCTATTCTGGCATTCCCTCCGCTATAGGGCACACATAGATCCCCACAAAGCTATTACAAGTCTCACCCATATTTTATAAAAGCAAATTAAGTTTAAAAAAAAAAACAGAAAGAGAGAGTTCTGAAGATGTGTGAAATCATCATATAATTGAAAAGACCAGGAAGGGAAACAAATAAAGCCTTTTTGCCTAGTGTCAAAAAAACATTAAATAAAGCACAAGAGAGCTGGTACAGAAAAGGACTTTCTTTTGACATTTATGAATCTAATTCTAAAAGGCACCGAACAGTATAATATACTGCTCACAAAAATAAAGGGAACACAAATATAAGACATCCTATACGTTTGTGTTCCCTTTATTTTTGTAAGCAGTATATAAAATAAATCTACAAATAGGCAATGAAGGTAGTCTCTCCAGCATGATGTTGAAGGTGGCAGCCCTTTCTAAATTATAGTAGAATTTTGCATTTCTATGTGACAAACAGAGGAGAGCAATCATCCTAGAAAAGGACATGTAATGTTTCTGGACCACAAACAAATCTGTTTTCTTGATTCTCCACATGAAACAGAAACTTTCACTTCATATTAAAACCTGAAGTAACCATACTGAGGAGCCATTCATTAGAACTTACTTAGCAGCAGCTACTGCAACAACTGTAGACAAGATAATGCTTCTGGATTCTTTCCCTCCAAATCCTCCTCCCATTCTCTTCACACGAACCAGAATTCGATTAGCTGGAACTCCTAAAGCGTTAGCAACAAGATCCTGAAAAAATAATTTAAAATAATTCAACCATGTATTAGCCTACATTGGAATAGTTCTCTTTCTGCACATAAAAGCTTGTAAAAAGAGAAAATAAGCTAAATAACTCCATTCCCAGCATAGAGGTAGCCTACACCTATTTGTAAACAGGGAGAATTATTGCATTAATTGAGATTTATTATCAGTGAATGAATGAATTATCTAAACATGCATAGATTTACGTTTCCTGAGGTCAGATTTTCAGTTTCTTGATGGGAGAGTGTGAATTCCTGAATGCACATGTTAGAAGATAGTTTGTGTATGAGAAAGTACTTTATATATATAGATGCAGATATATGCAAATACATATACAAGTTGGTCATATTCAGATTATAAAGTATCCAGGATTGGTTTCAGTAGTAGCAGTCAATCTTTGTTGATAAAATAGAACTGTGAAGGACTATTCAAGACTTTTGTTTGTGTTTAGAATCTTTCTTCTGTCTAATTTTTTTTGGGAATGTGTTAAACCAGAATCATTTTCCTTTCAGGTAAAGACAAAATTGTCTTCATGCTACTGTAATTTACTAATTGGCCATATAATTCCACAAGTAAGTTTAGCACTTATGCAAGTTCTATAGCTGGGTAAATGAGGCATATCAGGGAATATCAGAAACTCGAATTGAGTTTCTTGGTTCTCACATGCCAAAGATGAACCTGCATGTACACAAAATCACATTGGTTTTTTGATGTGCAACATCGTTACTCTATTCCACTGGTGGAAGGGTGACTTCTCTTAAAGTTTCAATAAAGCAAAGCATGTCTTCAACATCATGCACAGCATTTTTATATAAACTATTTGAATAGAAATAATAGATTATTAAAACTTAAGAATAAAACAATACTATCTAAGCAGGGGAATCAGATTAGCACAGACAGGAATGTAGAATGTAACCATTGACTTCTTTATTGCATTCTAGAGGAAAATCCCTCCTCAACTCTTAATTAAAATCCCTAGTCAAATAACAACAACAACAATAACGATGATGATGATGATGATGATAATGATGATGATGATGATGTTATTCTTGGTAGCAAAACTAACTGCATTCTCTAAAAGCTATCAAGATCAAAGCTTATCAACAGACTGGCTGACCTGTGTCTTTGTTAAGTTTTGGGTGGATACAAAGAGTTCCATTTCTCCATCTTCTCCTTTTGGTACAGCAATTGTGCAGTGAGTCTCCAGATAAAAATGTTCCTGGCCACCGATGTACATGTCCCCTAGGGAAGATGGAAAGAAAGGATTTCCAAATCAAATAATACATTAAATTCAAAACAGGTTTTTCAGGAGTGATGTGAGAATTTATACAATAATGACTCTGATTCAAGCTCACGGAGTTCAGAGTCCTACTGCTGATCTTCATTACTTGAGTTCTTAGAGTCCAATCACTTGGGGGGGGGGAAACGGTGCCTCTCAATGCACCTTGCCAAATGGCAGCTTCCATCTCATTTGCTCCTCTTAGCAAAGAAAAAGAAATTGTTTTCTCCCTTGTCGTACTCCTTTTCTCCCATTAGTAACTTTGGGTGCAGACTCCAAGAAATATAGTTTATTCAAGATTTTACCCTGCCAAGTTCCACCACCCCCAATCATGATGTTAGTTGCTGCTAGTTACAAAAAAGGATTGTCATGTGTTCTTAACATCAAAGCATCTTAGTATCAAAGAAACTTTCCATTTTTACTATGATATGGATAGACAGTGTAGGAAGCTGGAAAAAACCAATGACAAAACAAGAGGAGCTTTAAAAGATTGTCCGTTTCTAATGTATTGTCCAAAGCAGAACCCCAAGGTCAATGCAAATACAGTATGTTATTCATGCAGTCAATGCTTTAAAATAAACTTTTGTTATACAAACCAAAAAGAAACAAAAAGAAATGAACAAGCTTACCTTCCACAATATGATCGGCCTCTTCAAAACCTTTCTGGATATTTCCTTTTTCAATCTTCCTGTCAGTCTTAAAAAAAGACTCTTTCTCAATGGCTTCCTGTGCAAATTATAGGAGAACATAAACACATTTACATGAACATGCGTGTACACACACACACACACACACACACACACACACACATACTCACACAGCAGCCAGTTCTGTTTTGTGTAGCTTAGCCAAGTTGGACTAATGTTATGTACTGTTAGGTAATCTGCATCGCATTTTGAATGAAAGGTAGTAAAGACAGAGCAGATAGTACCTGCCATTATCTATTTTATTAGAATTTCCTATTCTCTACTATGCTCTAGCTTCAACAACTTTCTTTCCATTTATCCTGGGCTGAAAAATCTGCAACCTAAAGGCCTCAGGCAGCCATTAACGTAAGCTGACATGGTCCTCAGAACAATGTCAGAAGCTGTCTGTCCAGCGAGATGGATAGCAGCGAGGGAGGGATCCAAAGTAGAAAAGGAGGATATCAAATAGAGAGAGATCAGATACCACTACCTACTAATTTCTTCATTTCCTTTATACAGCCAATGATGATTACCCCTAAGTCAGGAGTAGGGAATCTTGGCTCTTTTATGATTTGTGGACTTCAATACCCAGAATTCCTGAACCAGCCATGCTGACTCAGGAATTCTGGGAGTTGAAGTCCACAAGTCATAAAAGAGCCAAGGTTCCCCATCCCTGCCCTAAGTGAATACAGCCCTAAATGGAAAAATATTTTCTCAGCCTAATTACAAACTTCAAACATTTACTCTATATAAATAAAAGCAAGTGTGTGCATGACCATTTCTTGGTTGGGACTAATTTGCAAAAGAAAAAGGGGTTTTACATGCACCAAGTCTGTTGCCCATTACCCTGATTCATACAAACAATGATCACAACAAATGGGTGTAGAAAAAAGTACAGATTATTTTCACATATCCATCTCAGAACTGTAATAACAGAAACCAAAGAAGTTACTTTCAAATCTTTCTAAAAAAATAAACCAAGAACTAAGCTTACTCAGTCAGGACCCTGAAATCAAGGTATATGTCACTTTGTGTCAGTGTCTCACCTGGATAGTGATAATTGGTGTAAGCTCTTCATATGTGATGTTCACTGCTTTAGCAGCTCTTCGGGAATGTTCCTGTGTATCTGCTAATACTGCACCAATAATGTGCCCAACACATGTCACCTGCAAGGGGAAAAAAATCCTTCAGTTTATTCAGCAACTTTGCAAATTTTAACTGATTTACCATCAGTAATATTTTAATTTGGATATATTTATTTTTGAAACCCAATTTTATATAAAGAGGACAAACATTCTGAATGTAGACATACTGTTGGACAACAGCTAGTCTGGGCACAAACGGATTTTCAAAATTGTCAATTAAATTTGTGAGCAGAGTAATTAAACAGGCAATTTCTCCAACTTTCCCTGTAGTAAGAGAACTCTTCCTATAATTTTTCAGGGATAAGCCTTCCCTTTAGAAGTGATGGTGTCTCTAGTACTTAAAGTTCCTATACAATATTTTTCCTTGGTATTTCACTGAACTGTGGACAGTCAAGGACATCAGAGTACTGGGAAAGGAAGAATTGTACAGTGAAAGACAGGATATTCCCACACATATCTTGCTACCTTGTAAATAAATCAGAGCAAGAATATCATACTCTTCTGTTTTGAAAGAGTTTTAAAAGCAAATTCTCTCTCATGAAACTGAATGAGAAATGATAGAGCACAGAAAATGTATGTGATTATATTTGATCCCAGTGAGTGCTGTGAGAACTATGTTCAGTTGGTGTTGGTATAAGGTATTCCTCCCCATATACATTAAGCTGCATTCATTATCAAATCTATGGGCTGCCCCCTCATATATACCAAAAGGGCATTTTAAGGAGTTCATAATATGAAGTGGCATCTCATAATTTGATATAGCACTCAATAAAACGTATACATTTTACTATTGTATCGGAACACATACAGGTACAATTTTCATAGGGGATGGTGGTACATCTGCCAGTTGTCACCCTAACACATAACTCACCAATTCAAACCAAAGTGAAGAGTATGAAATGCACTTTATAAAACACATCTGGGAATGAACCAAAGTGGTGTGGTTATTGAGCTATAATGCAAGTGAGCTGATTGCCCCACTTTAGTACTTTTTGAGATTAATAGAACAATTCGTAGATGAAAAACAATAATTACGTACAAGGTGTTTTGCAAAGATGGTTTCATCATTAAAAATTCCAGAAATGTTACTTCCTGGAATATCCTGATCAGAGACAAAACACACAAAGCCAGGTACATTCTGAGCCTCTGTGGTATCAATGGAACTGAAAGAAAAGAGTAGCACAGTAGAGTTATTCCCATTAGATTTAGGTGTATGTCTGCAAATACAAGTTTTGGCTGCATTTATTTCCAAAACATGAAGTGATAGTTCTATTTTATTCTGCACTGAACAACCCTCCTTTTGAGCATTGTGTCTGCTTCTGGGTAATATCCTTTGTTGAAAGAAGAGATTCAAAGAAAGGCAACCAAGAGATTTTTCTAGATTGGGGATCTAGAAATTAAATCCTATACATACACGTGGTTCTCAAAGACTCTCCAAGAAAAGGTGGCCAACATTCTAAAGCTAGTTTGAATCTTACAAGCATGCTGTCAGCTGTAAGAATTACACAAGTTCCAGAGGCACAAGCAAGTTACATATTATACTGGATGGCTGAAAGGAGGTGGACTATAGCCTCTCCTCAGGGCCTTTATAATGTAAAAGCCACAAAAGCCCACATCCACATCATAATAATTGTGGCCTGTACCATTTAATAAATAATGGTGTCTGTCATGGAAACAGAACTTACATAATTTTAGCATGGGCTTTGGTGCTGGTAACCAGGGTTAGGTAGAGTTCATTTGCATAAGAAGGAATGTCATCACAGTAGACTGCCTCTCCGCTTGCCTGCTTGGCAGCTGACAAATGCATCAGGGGTCGTCCCACGGTATCGTCAATGGATTGCTCAATAGGCACTTCCTATGAGAAAAGCAAAGGGAGGACTTTTCACTGCTGATTAAATTCTGGCATCAATACCCTACAAACATTGCCTCATTCAAAAAGTTAAAATTCTACTAGCAGCAATAAAGCAAGTAGGGGAACAGCATTTAGCACATCAAATACAGGACTATTTCTTCTACCTGAAAGGAAGAGGTTCTGTTAGGACAGACATCTCCTGTAACTGATTAATTTTTAAAAAACAACAAAGAGCAAAAATCAGAATAAGGGTTAGTTCAAGGTAAGGTCTAATGCTCAGGCAAGAACATTTCCGAGAACTGAGATGAGAGGCAATAAAACAAATGGAAAACACAAACTGGTCTTTTGCTCTTACTCACTTGAAAAAGCTGGATGTTGCTAACAGGATCCTTATTAAATAATTTAGTAGCACTAGCATGTGTGGGAGGGATCGAATTGCTCAAATTATTCTGCAAAAATATAGATAGAATCTGATTTTAATTTCATTTCTCTTATGCAAAGGCAAATGTATTTTTAATGTATCTCTTAATGGGCATAAAAACATTACAGTCAAAACGTAAAAAGTTACCAAAAGCCATATGGAGCTCAGCTTGCATATGGACAGCCATATGAAACTGCTGAACCATTATCCCATCAAGAAGACAGAAGAACTCACATTGTCATTTAATTCTTCACTTCGTTTCTGAAGCACTGTGAGGTAGAACTTAAAGAAAAAGCTGAGCACGAGAGTTCGACGGAAATCCACCATGCCACCAGGGACTGAAGGGGAAAGATTCATCTCCTCAGCCAGCAAACGGCAAGCTTCCTGCATGAGTTCTTCTTTCCACTCTCTATTAAAAATGAACCATAAATTAACACAAAATCATTTCATTTGTCCCTGTCTATTCAGTAAAAAATAAATAAACAGGGATTCCCATTCTGATGCCTTATAGTTATACTGGGAGGTCATCTTCCAGAATTACCCTTGTCTGGCCCCATAGCAAGTGTGTCCACAGAATATGGTTGGGAAAAAAATCAGGATGATGATCATGATGATGTAATGGAAACTCTGCTTATTTTCTTTGGGAAGCAGATTAGAAATCATCAGAGATGTATTTGTAACATCCCAATAAGAAAGTCTCCTTTAAGCTGCACTCATAGTCAAGAGGGGTTGCTCTAAAATCAGTAGTCCATAAGTCTGTCCCATTCTGCAGCCTTCCAAGTATCTCCTCATTATAATGCCAATTTTCAAATAGTAATGCATTTATATTAAACTATGATGATGAAGCCAAACATTCCTAATCTTTCACAAAGTAATAAAAAACTGAATGGAAATATTTGACCCCACAATTCAGCAAATAATCGTATGTTCCCCCCTTCCCACATTCCTTAAAAACTGAAATAATAACAACATCATAAAGTTTGATCTCCCAGCTGAGAGTATTACAAAATTCTACTCCAAGCATGTGTTATGTTGCATATGAGTCTCACTCATTTACCTCCCAATCAGCTCCTGACAGGTTTTTACAGCCATGACTGTTGTGGGAGCCATTCCACCATAGCTCAGCTTAATCTCTTCTAATCGATTGGTTTCCTCTTGAAACCGAACTCTCATTCCACAAGTCACAATGGCAATGTCATCCTCACGTCTTGAAGCTTGCTTGAAGGCAGAGAAATATTCACCCTAAGAGAAGAAAAAGAAGTAAACTTTCCATTGACTTTTTCTCACTGATCTCGGGGGGGGGGGGGAAGTCTGGAGTAAAGTCAGTCCACTGACCACAATGGTACTAAAATACGAGCAGTCCCTTTTATGCAATAATTTCTAGATGAAGGAAGAATGAGCACTGGGGAAACACAACAGAATTCCAGACAAACTATGACAGAATTCCTGATGCTATGTTCTGAATAAAACTTAACATTGCGAAATTCACTTTCATCTCTGAATACAGTTTATAAATAAGTGTTAATTATTATTCTGGAACTGACATCTATGAGCTGCAAAGTGTTTCTGCACCATGTCTATGTCCAGGATCTTGGTTTGTTGGTGTGTTTGTTTGCTTTTTTATATGGGAGCAGCAGGCATTGTTTTGGAGGGTGTTTTCTTGTTTTGAATCTTTAAGAAGCTCAGTTAGTGTGCTAATGAAGTGACAGATTATTTCTCTGTTTCCTGTCATTCAAAATGTTTGAGTCCCCTTTGCAAATACTCATTGTGATTCATTAATCTTTCTAGAAAATGTCAAGGTTGGGCATTCAAAACAGACCTATCAGGTTACTTTAGGAATACAGAAATGGCATGCCAAGCCAGATCATTGGTCCACTTATCACCATTTTCTTCATACTGACAATGGGTGATCTCCCTTAATGTGCTCTGATCCTAAGTTAAATGTGCATAAGAACATTACAATTTCTCCACCAAATTTGATCCTGAACATCTGAACATCAGTTCATTTCTATTTTAAAATTTTGCCCAGCTAAATACAAGCTACAACTCTCATGAATGCCAACTTCTGAAACAGGAATGGACAGAAACAGCCTCTTTGTTTACAACTTGTATGGGTTTTATGTAATTCTTACAAGTTAGAGAAAGTGATACAGAGTACTTAGGTGCTCATACGCATATGCCCTGCTATAAGTGACAGCACTACTTGCAAGGACGTAGAAAAATCTGCAGATTTTTCACAGGATAGCTTCAAAAGAGATAATTCAAAAAGATCCTGAAATTAGAACTTGGATGTCTTTATGCACAGCAGAGGGTGCTCTGGCTGCATGGTGCGCCACTGGTATCACGCCCCATGCAGCTGGGCAAGAGGAAGGTGGCAAGAGCTACACAAATTTCAGCAAGCTGTCATTACCCCTGTAATGTCAGGGGTAAATGCAGAATCTTGAAATTTCTCAGCTGCAATTCCATAAGTTAGTTATATAATTAATTAAGACAGAATCTTTTTTTTAACAATTTTACCCTAGTTTTGTGGCTTATAATTATAGTATTTTTCTCATTGTTGTTTAAAGCATTCTGTAGATATGGTTCTATTGTTGTTGTTGTTTTTCGTAATTGTTAATGTTGCTCTAAGTTTGGATGGGGATATTTAAGAAAATTAAGTTAATGTTAGGAAAATTTTGAAGGGAAAAAAACAACCCTTGACTGATATAAAAATAGGACGGAATGTATGCAGAATTGACCCAGATCGGAACAGGATTAACCCCCCCCTTCCATTCTTCAATTAAAGTATACCAGTCAAATAAATGCTTTCCCTGTAACTCAAAAGAGGCAAGTATAATTGATGTCACAATTCAGATGGATTTTTTTTCATGGATCTCTCACACTGCATATCATGAGATTCTTGGGACTCCAGAGTCAGGAAAATCTCATCTTTCTTTCTAGTATAAGCTGAACCAATATAATAAGACCATGGTTGCCCCAAAGTGCAATTGTATCAGGACTGAAAATATGCTGTTACTATAACCACATATCCAAAAATAAGCTCAGAGAAGAAAGGAAAGAAGCAAAATAAACACAGCCCTGAAAAAGAATAACTATACTCTCAGTCCATTAAGTGATTAACCATTAATCATCATACTTGAGTCCATGAGTATCTAAAATCCATGGATATAGATGAGTCAATCCCTTCACACTACCCAGAAATAATTGAAACCAATCCACATCAGATATTCTGGGAATTTCGCAGTAAATATGCCGTGTTCTTTCACCATGAACATATGAGTTGGATAGTTCCCCAATCTGTGGAAGGCAATCTTTCTTCTGAAACCGGTTCCTGCATGATTGCATGAATATAGTATTTTTGCTTGTTTCAGGGATAAAGAAAGACCAGCCTAATTTAATGTATATTAGAATTTGAACCACCATTCTTCTCATAGAAAGCCACAAAGTCATGCAGAAGGAATTCATGGCAAACCTTTTCTATAAGGGGTTCTTGATGCTGTCTCAGTTTGGTTGTTTTCTTGCAGACATTTCATTACCCAAACTAGGAATTTATTTATTTATTTTGCTTGCTTCCTGCCCTTATTATTTTTTACAAAATTCAAGGCATGAAACAGACTTCCCTCCTCCTATTGTCCCTACAACAACCCTGTGATGTGAGTTGGGCTGTGAGAGAGTGACTGGCCCAAGCTCACCCAGTTGGTTTTCATGGCTAAGGTGGGACTAGAACTCACAATCTCCTGGTTTCTAGTCAGGTAACTTAATCACTAGACCGAACTGGTTTGGCAGTTCCTTAATTAATATGTTGTTCACTTCTTGACTGTTAGTCTGATGTTAATTTTGGTGTTAATCTATGTTCATCTGGGTGTTGATTGCTGGTGGAGAGGTGTTTTGTTTTCGTTTTCCTTTTTTGGTTTGCTGATTGTCTCCTTTGTATAGTATGTTGCTTGATGGCAAACTAGAAACATAAGTTACCAAAAAAACCACTGATACTAATCAAGCCAAGCAACCTAATAGTAAAAAGCCCAACCAAAGAACCACCAAATCACTCCTACCAACACTGACAGACATGAACAGACATGTCAAACTCGCAACATCACATATTGGGATGGTTTTGCCATTGCTGGCAATGGAGTGGGCGCAGTTTCTGGATGATGCATCCAGCCCATGGGCCGGCAGTTTGACACTCCTGAACTAGAATATAAATTTAATATTTATATAAATTTATATAAATATAAATTTAGAGCAAATCCCACTCTCTGCTAGTATTGATGTTACCGAGTTTGCATAATGAAACGTCTGCAAGAAAACAACCAAGCTCAGAGAGCACCAAAGAACCCTCATTTCAACCCTGAGCTACAAATATTCTCCTTTATTGAAACTTTTTGTATCTTCCATGACTAAACTAAATTTTCTACATTTTATCTAAGAAGAACTCTATGCTAGAATTAATTCCTTGGTTGCTTGGGCAGTACACAAACAAATCCATGATGCAGGATGGCTATGTTTGTCATGTGATTTCTTTTTTTTTTTTTAGCTCTCCCAGCCAGAGCAAAACATGCTAAGAAATTGTCGCTTCCTTCCCCACTCCCTGTCTTTTTAGCTTTTTTTTCTTCTAGTATACAGTATTAATTCCTAAATTCATCATCTATGCAGGAAACATATTTAAAGATTTTATATCTTTATCACCTTACTCGTAGTTAAAATTTTATACAAAATGGAATACGTATAAGTCAATGTTGGATGGATGTTTTGGCTAAAATTTTCTGTGAAAAGAGTATCAACTACCTGATAACTACTTAGTGCAACACAAAGAGAATTAATTTAGCCCTGAATAACTGATTCTTTTTGCAAGGGAAAAAAAAAATCTAACCCCTTTTGTATAGATTAAGCAGATCATTTTTCTGGCTTAAGGAGTCTGCATTAAGTGAGAGTAACAAACTATATTGGCATAATGTAGTCTGTTTTTCTAGGCATGAGAAAAAGCAAGAGATTTTATATGGCATTAAAGGTCATCCCCAAGATGGAAATCTTTTTAAACACAATGCTCCAGTTTGTAGGATTTCAGGAGCCATAGTTTAGATACTTTTACTCGCATATTGGCAGCCATAGGGACTAGATATTTTTCAGCAGGAGAAAGGGGGGAGAAGGGGGGAGAAAAGGAGAGGGAGGAAGGGAAGGAGAGGGAGAGGGAGAGATGAATGCTATATCCAAATTACTTTCTATGTTTCAGAAGAATCATAGTACACTTAATATGGTTTGAGCATTGCATCTGCATTATTGATTAATATGGCCATGTGAACTTGCAGAACAACAGAGTTGGAAGGGACCTTGGAGGTCTTTTACTGTGCACTCCCTTGCTCAAGCAGGAGACTTGATACCATTCCAGACAAATGGTTGTCTAAACTCTTCTTAAAAATCCCCACTGATGATAATGGTAAGCCATTCCACCGATATTTTCACCGTCAGGAAATTTCTCCTCAGTTTTAAGTTGGATCTCTCTTTGATAAGTTTCTTTCTATTGCTTCTTGTCCTGCCCTCAGGTACTTTGGTGAATTGGTTGAGCCCCGCTTCTTTGTGGCAGGCCCTTAAATATTGAAGACTACTATCGTGTCACCCCCTAGTTCTTTTCTTCATTAGACTAGATAGACATTCCCAGTCCTTGCAATCATTCTTCATGTATTTTAGCCTCCAGGCCCTTAGTCATCTTCGTTGCTTTTCTCTGAACTTTTTCTATGGTCTCAACATCTTTTTTTCTATTGTGGTGATCAAAACTGGATGCAGTATTCCAAGTTGATCTCACCAGAGCAGTATAAATCAGCACTGACACCTCACATGATCTTTCTTTCTGCTTTTTTTTTTTTTTTTGGCAGCTGCAGCACACTGCTGGCTAATATTTAAGTGGCTGTCCACCTCTAGATCCCTTTCATAGTTACTGCTATTGAGCAAGGTACCCCCTATTCTACACCTATGCATTTGGTTTTCCTTGCTTTACTTTTCTCACCACTGAATTGCATTTTGCTGGATAGGGCCCAGTGTTCAAGTCTGTCAGGATCCTTTTGGATCTTGAACCTATTTTCTAAAGTGTTACATATGCCTTATAAAACTATACAGCCTTTTTTTCTAGGACAGTAAATATTCAGATCACCTCACCTTCCTACTGAATGGAATATCAACTGAAAGCAGCACTTCTTGAGGCTTCAGTATAGTTTTTCTATACCCAGTAAAGAATTTTTCATCCATCCTTATTGTCCTGCTGCCCTCTGCAAGAAAACAAGATACAGCATACAGAGGATGAGTTGGGTAAGCAGATGGGCTCTCAATTCATCTTAGCAACTATTTATTGTTGGGAGGTTAACTGGTCTTTTAATTCCACAAGCAAAGATTGTGACTTACACTGATTAAATAATATATCCTAGCTATCTTTTCCAGCCTGGTGCTCCCTAGACATCTAGAGCTTGATATATGTATTTTGTGTCACCTCCTACATGTCACATTGGAATCACAGGCATCATGGTATCAACAGCTCCCCGAAGTCCATATCATCAAGTAACAGACAGGCTGGAGTCAACCATCAGATGTTGCCCAAAACTATTTCAGTGGTGTTTAGACCACCTTTTTGGGAACTCTGAATTTCTTAGCTGCAACTAACAGATGAAAAATGGTTTATCAGTACAAAGGCATATGTTTCATAGCCTACCTTGAGTACAAAAGTATATTAATCCACTTCTATCTCCAATAGAAATTACAGGGCATCTAAAACATTTCCAAGAATTCTCTTTAATGCTCAACATTCTAACAGCGAAGATTTGAAAACCACAGATATCACAAAGGTGTGATATACTATCACACAGCTACCAAATACTACAGCTTAACAATGATCAGTTATGAAATATTAAAACCAAACCAAAGATCATCCAGGCTGAACCTATCTAAGCATGTGGAGTTGTGGGGAACATTCTGCATTACCCTTTAGAAAGCAAAAGAAGGAATAACGAAATAAAGTTCTCTTAACATTCTTAACTGAGGCTCTTGGAAATAACAGACCATACTACTTTCTCTGACTAGCCCCAGAAAGAAAAATGAGGCATGGAAACTGTTCCATTTACACCCATAATAGAATTTATATTGGCAACAAGGGAAATTGAGAAACTGCTTACCACTTGACACCAAAGTCAATTTGCTCCCCGTTGCCATCAACACTGGATTTAGGTCAGATATTGGACTTGCAGTCATTATATTTCCACCAATAGCCTGAAAGAAAATATAGCACAGCCATATCTTAGAAATTAGGTCAACAGACATCATTAAAATCAGTCATCAAAGTAAGTAAGCAGAAAAATCCTGAATATTTTAATTTTACACCATTGAAATTAAAATGGGATTTTCTTATCCTCAAATAGAACAAGAATAGGTCAAGGAAGCAATACATCTCAAGTTAATTTATCATTTACTGTTCATGCTTTCACGATGTGCTAAATTTTTTCTTTCATGAAATTAAGAACTGGAAGATTTAAACAACGATTTACATTTAGATTCATTATTCTAAAATGTATTTGGGTGGGTGACTATAAAGACATTTAGATTAATTATTTAATTTCACTGTTTCTGTAAAACGTCTGGGCATTTAAAATGCCCCAACGAAGAAAATATATAGTCAAATCTGATTTGTCAGTTCAAAAAATATTACCCATTTTCACTCTAAAGTATATCTCTCTTGCCTGAAGGTTGGTATAAATTAAAAGATATGCTTCTCCTAAGCTGACATTTCCTCTGAAGATTTGTTCAAACTAAGCCATGCATAAGAAGATTCACTGATCAATTTGAATTTACCAAATAATAAAAAACCTTATTGCCTTGTAGGCTTGTTTTCTTTATGGACAATATAGGAATTATTCTATTAGGAACAAAAATATCCAATTTCTAGTCTATATTTAGCCACAGAAGTTCACTGGATGGCTTTGATCCAGATGTTAACTCTCAGATTTCTTGTGGGCATAAAATTGGAGGAGGAAGTTGAAATACTTTTGCATCGAAGGATGCTTACAGGATGATTTTCTGCCCAACTCCCTGAGATCTTGCATTGTTGCCCACCATGAACCTTGTGGGGAAAATCACAAGGAGCATGTCTAGTAACTTGTGTATTTAGATATTCTTGCTGGGAAAACTATATAGGCCAGTATTTCTCAATCTTGACAACCTCAACTCCACAACTTAAAGTTGTCAAGGTTAAGAAACACTGGTCTAGATATTCAGAAGTAGATGAAGTTGTGTAACCTTGAAATTAAAATCAGTAGACTACCGGCCACCAGCATTATGGGGAGTATTGTGTGAAGGATAATAAAATAAATTGGGATATGAAAGTGCAAAAGGAGATACACTTTAAAGGAACAGTACATAACACCTGCCTTTCTTGTCTCCTTCCTTTATCAGAAACTATTTGGAAGCACTTACTGCAACATTGCGGATCTGAGGCCCTGCAAACCATCGCAGTTGTTCTAGGACTGCTTGGAAGACCTCCACTTGGTAAGAAGGAAACTTGTCCACTGCTTTCCTGAGTTCCTCTTCCACACAGCTCAGGCTACAGGAGGCACCAAATCTGATTCCTGTAAAACCAGAAACAAGAGGGATTTGACCCTCTTGGACCTTCACCAAGATAAAAGTATTGCTCTCAGGAGCTGAACTGAAGAATTTTTACATCTTTAGTCTCCTCCCTTTATTTTTATTTTTTTAAAAAATCAAGAAAGGATTTATTTCCTGCATATCTTATAAAGATGTATATTTAACTTAGCAAAGAAGGAATCTGAGGGTCATGGTGGATGGGTCTATATCACATACGTGGGGACAGATGGTTTTGGGGGTAGAGTTTGGGAGATTCTTTTAAAACTGTGACATGCTTATTTTCCAATGTACATTAAAATTTGTTGTATTTATCCCCTGAAAACAGGAAAAAATAGGCCACTGTTTTTCGGTAATCATAGTGGCAAATGTGAAAGCAACTCTGAAAAGATGGGGAGAGTAGAGATTACAGGTTGACCCCTTTCAGGAGAAGGTAGAGATCTAAAATTACTGCTGTTAAAAAGGTTGCAAACATTCTCAGTGTGCCAAGATGTTCAATTTCCAGCAGTTACCAGATTTTAGACGATGCATACCAGTTCTGCCATTACAAGAAAGTGAGTAAACCCATGGTTATGCCGTAGGTCATCCTTTAAAAAAGTTTTATTATATTTGTAATAAGTGAGCATATATATGTTTTATTCTAAATAAATCATTTGGAGTGTGATGTGTGCATGTGTGTGTAAGTCTTCCATCAATTTCTGAAGAACAAACTAGTTTATTCACCTAAAACAGAGGCTCAGTTGCTTCTGGGCAATCAAATGACCCACCTGCCACCTGATCCCAAGTCTTCATTCAGAAATCTGGCCATCTGCTCTTGGATAGCTTTTCCCAACCAGGCACCCTGTAATTTGCATTAGAATTGTAATCCCTGGAGTCTTGCTTGGAAAATATTGCTCTAAGGCATCTGGCTTCCCTCAATGTGGTCTTGGGCTCTACTTGATGTATCTGATCTGGCCACGTGTTGTACTTGCAACTTTCCCAGAAGGTCCTAGAAAAATGGCCTTGATACAGTGCCATTCCCTGCCCATCCAGGTTTCTGTTGCTTGTTAAAACAGAACAGTACAATACTTTTGCATTTTTCGATAGATTACTCCACCAGCCAATCTCACTGTTTTAAGAAGGACAAACATGTTCAGAAATTGTGGCTGACAAAAGTGACACACGAGCTCTGAATTTGGTTTAGAACCTTCCCCAGAAGTGCAATCAGTATACCAGGAACAGAGAGAGGCTATAAGTGCACGGGGAGAAGAGGTGCCACCCAGCATTTTTTAAAATCGTGGCTTGTAAACTTTTCCTTGTGTATTTCAAGCACATCTTGCCAATCCTTTCAGGCAGACTACTTACCCTCTTCTGTATGCTGAACAGAGTTCATTTCTGGGATCCAAGTTGGGGCTATAATCACAGGGTACAGCATGTTCTTTAATCTCATTTCAATACCTGAAGAAAACAAAATCCAATGAGATCAGTGCAGACATGGCAGCCAACCAGAAGTAGTAAATCTGCCAATGATACAACAGAGCTCTTATATAAAAGACTTCCAGAACAGTAGATCTCATCTCAGTGGTGATGGTAGTCCCTTCCTCCAGAGCCATTCCTGCATGCCTAAAAGGGAAGACATTTGCACTGACTTGTAATGAATGTATAAAGCCAAGAATTTTCCCTTCTGCTTGGCAGTATCACTAAATATGCCTTAATATTCTCTGGCCTGTATTGTTTTCATTCTTTCTGCAGTAACCTACTACAGTATCAAGTATTTAAAATCTTGTGATTGGGATAAGCACACTGGAGATCTACAGCAGCTATGATTGATTCATGAAAGTTAATTGGTTTGTCAAGCATTTCCCCTTCCTTTGTGAAGCAAGTGGCTTTCAGATATTCAAAATATCGTATCGCTAAGGGAATGGAGAAAAACTTGTTAATGGGTACCGAAAAGTGCCTGAGAACTTATTTTGAATTTATATGTTGTTTGGAGGCATTCCTACAGAGAAAAAATGGTTCCACCTATGGGATCAAATAAAGTTCCCATGAACATACCAAGAGGCCTGCTGAGAGGGCATTTAGTGTCCTTACTCCCAGTATCCAGTATCAAACTGCCTCTAAATTAGATGTAAAGTATAGCCATCATATCGTAGTCATATTCGCTAAACAAACTGCATGTCGGTTGGGTTCATACAACTTGTTAAACCATTACAAACGATAGTGGTTGGGTTCCCATTATGAACCACATTATGGCTTAATATATATGTTACCCCAAGGACACTGCTATTAATTAATTATAAATGTTACTAATTATCTTTTTTAAAATCCTAGGTTAATGGTTATGTTATTATGAAGGAAGAAATAAAATCTTGACTGGTCAGCCAATTATGTACTGCTATGTATATGTTTGAGTACATTTATTTAACAGGAAACAGACTTGGTCCTCTTACCCACTTCTGTGTTCCCTACTACAAGCTTGGCATCAGGGTGCTGAGCTTTCAGAGAAACAAGTTCCTTGAGAGTTGATGGTTGCAACCACATCACTCGCTCGCCTTTGAAATACAGTGGCTCAATAGGCTTTTTCTGTGTCTATAGAGAAAAGGCCAGATTTAGCTTCATGTAATAATATGGCATCACAAAGCAAGCAATCTCAATTTGGTATGAGGGCGAAGAGAAGGATTGCATTATAGTTGCAGTTACTATTTTCAGTGAGGGACAGGCTTCAGGATTCTTCTTTTTTTAAAAGAAAATTTTATTGATTTTCTAGTTTAACGTTGAAAAGCAACGTGGCGGCTGAGTTGGTCAATAATTCAATAACATACAAATATCTTTAGTACAGATCTCAAACTATTACATTAAATATTTCCTCTCTTTTCCCCTTGGTATTTACTGTCTCATATTTGAATTAATACAATTCTCATTATATTGATTATATAAAAATAACTTTCTTACATTTATCAATAATTTTTAGTTTATATATATCCTAATTATTTTAACATTCAATCTTTTTAGACAATCAATGTCCTAGTTAGTTTTTCCCAATTTTTAGTTTCCCATTAATATTTAAATTTAATGTTTAATATTTATAATTTCCAAGTTTTAAATAACCCCAATTCCCTTTATCACAATTCATCACAAGATCTAATGTTCAGGATACACGTCTTATCTATTTGAATCCTCACTATCTTACATCAACTAAGTAATAATACAATATAATATTCTTATTTTCTGGTAATTTCCAAATATCTTAAATTTAATAACCAAAATTGCTCTTATTTCAACATTTAATATTTCCTCTCTTTTTCTCTTAATATCTACTATCTCATATTTAAGCTAGTAATTTTTATTATTACCACTAAGTAAAAACATATTTATTACATTCAACAATAGATTTTTAGCTTATATATATCTTAATTACCTTTACATTTAACCTTTATAAGCAAATCAATGTTCAAATTTAACTGTTAATATTTATACTTCCAAGTTTTAAATGACCAAAGTTTTCTTTATCTCAACTCATAACAATATCTAGTATTCAAAGTACACATCCTATCTATTTGAGTATATTCTATTTTAATTCTCACTAATAAGTCAAAACCCCAACTTTCTTCAGTCTTATTCTAGCTTTCTTTCTTTGCCAAATTGTTTTCCATGTCTGTGCTTTTGAGTCATCAAATAAATCTCCCTGTGTTGTTATGTAAATTGTTTGATGTAGAAAAGGCCATCTGGTCGCCATTTGTTTGAGAGGACTAACAAATTGTCTCTCTATTTTCCCATCTCGACGTAGTTGTTCTGAACTGTTTATCTTTTCTTCAGTCTGTTCTTCTTCCTGATCCTCAGGTTTCTTCTGATTTATGTTGGAAGTCTTTTCCCTTTTCCATATTGTCAGTCTCTTTTCTTGGTTTTCTATTGGCTGTATTTGTTGATCAGTTGAATCTTCTATCATAATATTTAATTATTCCACTTTTTCTGTTATATTCTGTGTAGTAAATTTTTTAGTTGTAATCAAATTTGAGTTTGTATATCTGGGCTGACATCTTGTTCTTTTCTGTAATCTCTTATTTCATCAGTAGATGTAAGAATAGTTTGATGAATTGCTTTCAACATAAAGAAGAATCTGTTTTTTTCTTCATCCATATTCTCTTAGTAGTGTATTAGGTTAAAAGAGAATGCAAAAAAAAAATTGTCACTAAGTATGGAACACAGCTGGGCTTCTCACAACTGATATCTCAAAGTTACATAAGTCTTATCTATAGTCTGGGCTACTGGCCAAGTCTCTTTTAAGCAATAACAAGTTGTAATATCAGGTTTAGCCACAAGATGTCGCCCCTACTATTTAAAGTTTTCTTTTAAGTCCAAAGTTTTTATAATCTTTTCAGTTTTACTTCTTTTTTATAAGTAAAAACCCAGATCTTCAGTAAAAATAGAAAATCTTTTAGTCCACAAACTTTAAAAAATAAAATTCCAGTTAGGATCAAGTTATTCTTGCAATGTTTTAAACTCCCCTGGATAGTCAGTCACTGCTTTTTTTAGAGGGAGGAATAAAACCTCCCTTCCTTCTCCACAGGGGGGAAAGTACTTTAAGCAGCTTATGCAGGTAAAAAAGATAGATAGGATTTAAGAGAGGTAGATCTCACCCAGTCTCATCCACGCTGCTTGGTGGTAAATGTGACTTCAGCTGTCTTCAGCCTAGTGACAAGCCATATTTCTAAGGCCGGTCTTACGTCTGCCGGTTTGGAGAGCTGCCCCAGATCAAGCGGAAGGGCTACTGTCCTCCTGTGATCAAGCAGGGATCCCCCCCTTGTTGGTCACTCCTACAGGGTGACTTTCGACCCTTTCCAAGGTCCCCCAGCAAAGCAAAACTGAATGTGGAAGATGGAGCTCGCCTTCCAAACGTCCATGGCAGCTGCGTCAGCAAACTGGAAGTCGACAGGCTTCAGGATTCTTTGCAACAAAAAGCAGCATAGGAGTCCTTCTATGAAGTCAATAAATCCTCTCTCATTATCTAGTTGGGTATTTGTAAGTGGGAGGGGCAAGAGCTCTCCACGATCTATCTGCAATAAAGCTTAAGGCTATATAGCTGGAGAAATACTAGCTTTCATTTATTAAAGTCCCTTGCCCCTGCTTTCTGGGAAAGCTGCACCAAAGCCCTGTTGGTTGCAGGCTAGTGATTAGGCAGAACTTAAAAAAAGTGGTTTCAGTGGATTACTCCTTACGTTGGCACTGTGGTTAGAATGCAGTATTACAGCTAATTCTGCCACAGCCTCTAGCTCAATCCTAGTGGGGCTTGAGGCTTCCAATCTTCCGAGATCAGTAAAATGAGGACACTGATTGTTGGGGGCAATATGCTGCATACACACACACACACACACACACACACACACACATCACAAATAATTTCATAATTTCATAGGGAGTTGGGTTAAAGTTAGTCAAAAAAATAAATATGCCATCTACATTTAATAATTAATTTCAAACTACATATAAATAAAATGATAGAACATTGCAACTTTATAAAATAACACCTTTTCATTAGCAAAACAAAATTTAAGCCATGTTTTATTTTGCTTTATTTTGATGGGAAAGATTAGCTTAGCTTTGCGTAGTTTCCAAAATCTAAACTTTATTTTTTAAACAACCATTCACATTTTTCATTCCCTATTTGTTTCAGATAGCTATTTGTTCTTTGTGACAGAGCCTATAGAAAATTCTGATTTTGGAACCAACTTATCTAGACAAGGCAGGAATAAAGTCTGGCAGCAATCTGACATTCAGTGTGCAAATCATTAGGCCTGTGTGGGCAAAACAGGAACAACTTCTGATAGTGATTTTTTTTTTTTTTTTTGCGCCTAGACATGCTCGAAAATATATGTGACCATCCTGGGATGTGCTTTACATCACCTAGGAGTAACAACCCATAATTTTGGCAGTTCTGCCATAGAATAAAACGCTAAAATTACTGTAACACAATTTACCCAACCTATTTGTGTAACCACAGAAAGCTGCCACTTCATGTTTACGTTTATGCTCTCCGTTTCATGGAATCTCATAAAATAATACAATTGTTATATTGGTTTTAAATCCACCTCCTCTCTAATATAAGATTTAATTTGAAGATGTCATAGAATGGTGTTTGAAATCAATTGTCCGTTCCTTGTCCAAATATGATTCCCTCATCTTCGGATATGGACATATTTTTTATTTAAGGCAGCAGGACTTTTTATTTGTTTGTTTACTTATTTATTTAGTTATTTCTGTGTCGCCACAATTGAAATAATTCTTGATGGATTATATAGAAAAAAATAGTATAAAACAAGTTTCATAAAACAAAATAAAGACAAAAGAACTCTGCAAGAATACAGGAAAATAAAAAGATGGCAACATGAAATCAAAGCAGGGGAAGACTCTCTGAAACAGCTCATTCTTTAAGACCAGCAAAGAAGGAGATTTTATGAACATAACTATACATATATATTTGGCGCTGCCTTTTTCAAGTTTTTTTTTCTTTTATTATTTTTACTTCCCAATGCAGTCTACAATCCCAGGATTCCCTGAAGGTCTCCTGAATACAGCTTCCTTGTTTAAGCAAGATCAGGATACTAAATGCCTGAATACAAAATTCCTGAATTATGGAACAAATTGCTTGACTAAGGTCAGGGGTAGGCAACCTTGGCTCATTTATGACTTGTGGAATTCAACTCCAAGAATTCCTGAGCCAGGAATTCTGGGAGTTGAAAGTCCACGAGTCATAAAAGAGCCAAGGTTGCCTACCCTTGACTAAGGTGAATAGATAGCTCTGATGGTAAAAGGAGACAAATATTCATCATCAGCTATTTCCTGTGCAATGGTCAGGACCCAGGCACAATTCAACCCCTGTGCAGGGCCATTATCCTGGACTGAATTTCTGTGATATAACAAGCTACATAAACAGAGGAATTACAAATCTTTTTCAGCAGCCAATGTTGCTTAATGCCTTGAGTCATTTGCATTGCTTCTGTATGGAACTGCATTTCCTATCATATCTGAGAGTATTTATTTAAAGATTAAAGAGTGATGAATCAAAGACTCCCAGTTTGCACATAGTTGTTGGCCTGGTTTTTTTTTTCTTTTTTACATAACCAACCTATTTTTTTTTCTTTCTCCTTCTCTCTCTCCAGCTCTATTATAGTTCCTACTTTACCACTGAAATGTGTTAGGAAAAAAAAGCTGCTGGCATAACTTTCAAGTTAGTCGAGATAGAGTATCTAAGTTTACTCTTTCTTAAAGTGGTGCTCTCCAGATAAGTTGACAGAATCCTAAATAGGCTGGTTTATGGGTGCAAATCAACAAGAATAGCAAAATCTTCCATAAAGGAAACTCACCAATAATTCAGGTGGGAATATAGGTTCCTGAGTAGGGTCTAAAGGCTGGAACTCAGATGTATTGAACAGAGTTGTGGTAATCAGTTCCTGCAAAAGAAAAGCAATGTATATATATTAGACCAAGTGGATTTTTGTTTCGGAGATATTCCTTACCTAAACAGAGAAACAGAATGATCAGGGGCAAAAACGCAGTGGGAGCAGAAGTGACTTCTGACTTCCTGCCAGCGTAAGCACAGCTGACTGTTCTCTAGTGGCCAATGGTGATACCAGTATACCTGGTCTCCAGAGGGCTAGGTTGAGACTGATCTATCTGATCTCCAGTGGCTGAAAGGAGCAATCGGTCTACCTAGCCTCCAGAAGCCTTGGCTGAGATCGGTCTACCCAAATTCCGGGTGGTGATGCAGCAGTGTAGCACATATTTGTGACCACAAATTTGCCAAATTTCAATCCCACAGGAGTAATGGGTCCCCGATTTTGGGCACATTCGGTAAATTAGGCCATTTGAGGTACCTTGGGTCAAAATGTGTTGCCCTATGATACATTGTTTCACCTAATTAAAGGTTACAGACACAAGAGAGAGAAGGAGAGAAAGAGAAGCAACCTAGAACTAAGGAGAAATTTCTTAATGGTGAGTACAATTAACCAATGGAATGCCTTGCCTTCTGAGGTTGTGGGTGCCCTATCACTGGAGGCTTTTAAGAAGAGACAGGATAGCCACTTGTCTGGAATAGCATAAGTTCTCCTGCTTGAGTAGGCGGTTGGACTAGAAGCCTTCCAAGCTCCCTTCCAACACTCTTATGCTATGTTCTAAAGAGTTTTAGTAGTATAAAATTAAACAGTATAATATATACATTTTTTCTTGGTTTTGTAATATTGTACTATTAAAGACTATTTGCATATTTTTTATTTCTGAATTTGTAAAAAAAAATAGTAACAGTAAGAAGGTTCAAGAAGTAACAATATTTATTCAGGTACTACACGACCACATAATTCTTAAGTCAGTTTCCTACTATCCGATGGTTTCTAATTTGTTAAAGCTACAACTTTCAAACTTCCCAAGCAAACAAACTACTAATTATACTCTATATTTAAGAATTCTGGGAGTTGTAACCCTAATCCATATATAGAACATCCTGCTGTGGATAATTTCTCTAACTGTTTATTTCTACTTAAGAAAGTACCAAGAGTAAATATCTATATCCAAAAATTTCATAAACTTACTGAATTGCCTTCTTTTTCATTCATGCAACAGTCTAGGCCATTGACTTCTTTATCATTGGACCCTTGAACCTTTTAAAAAGTATAAGACATGATAAAAATAGCAAGTTAGCAGACATATAAAAAGAGAGAAATCAAAAACATAATATTTTTTTTTAAAAAATCCTTTTTTTCTTCTTCCTTTTTTCTCTTTTTTCTTTTTTGTATTTTAATTTGTGTTAAATTTCCTTTGTTCATTTATTTTTTTTTCCTTGAATTCTTGCTCTTTCTCTCTCAACCACACATACCATGTTTCCCCGAAAATAAGACCTGGTCTTTTTTTTTGCCCCCAAAAGAGGCACCAGGTCTTATTTTGGTGGGTGTCTTTTCCACTCACCTTGCCATAGCAGCACCAACAGCCCCAACCAGCCAGCCAGCCCACTTTTTCTGCAGCTGAAGGAGCAGCTTCATTCTGCAGCTGAGAATAGAGCTACGCCCTGCATTTTGCCATCAGAGGCCTTCTGGAAAGGCCTTTGACTGCAAGATGCAGGCCGGGGGATGCCACAAATAAAGTGGGCCAGGGAGGTAAGGCAAGTGTTGATCCATGGGAGGCCTAGCTGCAGTGGTAAGCGGGTGCGGAGTACATGAGGCAGCTCCACCCCCCTACCCCCCAACTTGATTTTTAGGCATCTCCCTTGCCCCAAAACTAGGGCTTATTTTTGTGGTAGGGCTTATATTAGGCCCACCTCCAAAAATCAAGCTAGGGCTTATTTTTGGGGTAGGTCTTACTTTGGGGAAAGTATGGTATATACACCAAGTACAATACAATAGAGATTTTAATATTAAATAATTTATCTTAAGAGTGAAATCTGCTTTATAACAAATGCAAGTTGATGCAAGTTGGATCATGCTTTTTCATTTTCTTTTCTTTTCTAATACTTAGTACTCTTTTCTGTACTTAACTTGGAATGAAAAAGTCAAATAAGATAATGCTTACCACACTGGTATCCTAAATTATAGCTAACATTGATAGAATATCTTTTTTCTTTATTTCCAATTTTCTAAGTTATACAAATAATAGAATGTCTGGAAATTGTAATTATATAATTTGCAATTATGTCTCACACACACACACACACACACACACACATATCTTGTACTGAAATAACATAATGCATCAAGATTTATAACATTACAATAAAAAGGAAAAAAGAACAAAACTATTTAATAATTAAATACAATATATAATAAAATATTGTCAAAATGCCTTTTCCTTCATGCAGATAAAATTACATTTGTTATTCCTTTCATTTATGAAATATATGACATAAATATAAAGATATCTCGCCTTTTACACAACATGTAATACATACACACATTTTGTACTGAAAGGTCTCATTCACTTTGATGAAAGAGAATTTTTGTTGAAATAATTTTTTAAATTTCTTTCAAAATAGAAGAGAATTTCATAAACTTTCTCATGGGTAAAATGTTCTTGCATGATAGATGAGATATCCAAATGCTGAGCACGAATATATTCTGCTTCTTTTATTTTACAATTTATCTCTTCAATAATCTGCAGTCTCTCTGACTTCACACATTGCATTAAACCCAAAGGAAGATCTTACTGGGTCTTCCTACTGGGATTTTCCAGTTAAGCAGGCCCACTGTTGCCATTAAGAGGAAGACTTGGGTGTTATTGGATGTAATTATAAATCACACTAAGTATGCAGTTCTATGCATGTTCACTCATCAGTAATTTTTATGGCATAGGGCTTACATTAAAATGAAAAAGGTAAAGATTTCTCCTACCCAGTCATGCCCAACTCTAGCACTTTATCCATTTCTTAGCTAGGGCAACCAGTATTGTCTGAAGATATTTCCATGGTCATGTGGCCAGCATGACTATACATCAGGGGTAGGCAACCTTGGCTCTTTTATGACTCATGGACTTCAGCTCCCAGAATTCCTGAGACAGCATGGCTCAGCTTGGAAACTCTCCTTTTCCCCTCAGCATGGCTGGCTCAGGAATTCTGGGAGTTGAAGTCCACAAGTCATAAAGAGCCAAGGTTGCCTACCCTTGCTATACACCAAGGCGCATGGAAGGCTGTTGCCTTCCCACTGAAGTGCTACCTATTTATCTACTTGCATTTGCCTGCTTTCAAACTGCTAAGTGGGCCAGGAGCTGGGGCAGAAATCAGAGCTCACCCTGTTGTGTGGTGCTCAGGGCTCAAACTTGGGCTGTCACCTTTCCAGCTGACAAGCTCAGCATCTTAACCTCTGAACCACTGCACCAAGGTCCCTTCCAATTTTGTTGTTGTTGTTGTTATTATTATTATTATTACTATTTAGCACCTAATTGTCAGTGCTTTTAACGTATGATAGGGCAAATCAGAATATGTGTATAAACCTAAAAAGGTTCAATAGATATTTCTTATTCCCAAATAATCCTGGAATTATAATTATGAGAACACTTAGAAGCTTTAACAGAATTGCCAATATTCTCAAGTTATATTTCTGTGTATTTCATGTGGGAGGGAGATGTGACGTTTAAACTGATTATTTAAAAAATAAATTCATTGTGGCAAGGATGATAAATAATTCAATTACAAAAAAATTCATAACATTAAAACAAATATTATTTTATTTCCTTCAGAAATTATTTTAAAAGTGGAGAGGCATATAACTGGTTTATGCCACTTACCACATTTTTTTCTTTTCCAGCCATACAGCAACCTTTTCCAGTGACTAGTTTTCCACAGCATCCTCCTTCCTAGATAGAAATAGGAAGATAAAGAAATACTTCAAATAAACTATGGCGTGCATATGAAAGAACATGAAAACATTTGAAGAGTTGTGCTGGATCAGACTCAAGTGTCATGGATAAAAGATAGGATTTGGGCTGAAGACATGGAGCTTTAAGCCCCCATTCAACTGTAGAATGACTTTGAACTAATTATTGTCTTGCACCCTAATCTACTTTCAAGGTAAGAATTAAATCAGTGGAAATACCAATGTAAGTTCTCTTGAGTCCTCAGAGAAAAGGCAATTGATATGTGCTCCTCATTTTATAAATCTTGGAAGAGAAGTGACCAAATTCATTTCCTCAAGGAAAGTATTTCATACATTGGGAGCCACACAGAAGATCCTCCACCATGTATCAGCCACAGGGGTATCTTCAAAAAGGTCTCTCCTGGCAGCAGGTTGATACTTGGGAAGGCAGTTCCTCAAATTGTCAAGTCCTAACCAATATTTAACTTGTGCCCCACAGACAAGTGGCAATTATTGTAGATTGCTCCACAAGGGCAGGTGATCCCCATACCTTCCATCAGTTAGCAGTCTTCCCACTTATTTTTGCATCAATTGTGATTTCTGAACATTTTTGAGGGGTAACCCCTCACAGAAAGCAAAGCAGTAGCCACAATAAGTTGGAACCAAGATGTGAATAACTGTCACCATTTTGCAGAAAGAGTTGATATATTAGCTATAGTTGTTGCAACCATATGCCTCACTACAAATTTACCATCTGCAAATCTAGCCACAAATGAATGACAAGGACCATTCCCTAAAGGAGAATGCCATCCCAGGCTTTGCTGCAACCTCCAAATGCAGTTTGGGTTTGGGTTTTTGGGGTTTGGGGGGGGGGTTTGTTTGTTTGGATAATAGCAGTTCTGTCTTGCCTGAGTATAATTTTAGCATGTTCTTTCATTTAGCCCATTTTTCAAACCTCAATAATGTTCAAGAATATTTTCTTGAAACCGGATGATAATGAGAAACAAAACTGGGTATCATTGGCCTCTAAAATTCAAGATAATTATCCAGTGATTCTATGGAGACAACATATGGAACAACATTGAAATTGAAAGCCAACCTAATAGGAGATAGTGGCAAATTACCTCAGTACTATTGTCAAACTACCTAGACTTGGCTAAGAAGTAAACAGAAATTTAGCTGAAGTCAAAGCAGATTGCATCTTCACATTCACTTGGAAAAGTCAGTCTGATTTCATCACCAAGATATTTTATCTTTAGCCCCTCACCTTTGCAAATGTTCTGTACCCCTCCAGGATGGGTCTGTATCCTGTACAGCGGCAGAGATTTCCTATGTCACCAAATCAAGTTGAAAAAGTTAAAAGACATGTAGAACTTAATAGAAAGGTTATTTTAGTTTTTGCTTTTTTTTTTCTCTACCATGAAGAAATTCTTTTTTTTTCTTCCAGGAAAGAAGATGCCAATAGAGAAAATAATAATTGTCTCTGGGGCTTTGATAACTTTGGAAGGCAGGATTCCAGCCTCAAAAGACGTGACAACAAATTTACCAAGTCATGAGAGATCAACCTAATCATTTTCAAATATATTTCTTGCTTTATTCCATGATGAAAAAGTGATTGTGCCAATAAAGATGGGAGTTGTGATTCACTGTGTCTGGCAATCTTACCTTGAAAAGCATCTTCAATTTCTTCCATTCTAGGCTGAGGATGATTACGAAGCAATGTATACATGGACATGACAATGCCAGGAGTGCAGAAACCACACTGTGATCCATGGCTTTTGGCTATTCTCTCCTAGAAGAAAAATTGGTTCATAGAATATGCCATGCCAAATCAATTAATCAACTTGCTTTTAGTGACAGATCTGAACATGACCAGTGTCTGGTCTGGTTCACACATCACATTACATATTAATAGAAGGTCTGTGTATTATATAAACTGCCAATTGTTCATACAACAAACTATATCTTAATTTAATCTGTGAATCTAAACATTTATTAACACATAGTCACATCTCCCCAGGTTACCTGTACAGGGTGCAGCCTTGTCTTGGTGCTTCCAATGCCTTCAACAGTAGTTACAGCTACATGGTGGAGGGCGCAGATAGGGAATAAACATGCATTTGCAGAATAATGTCTGGATAAATTAATTAAGGAAGTGGCTTGTTTTATAAAATCTTCATTTCCTAAAGAAATACAATAAAATCAACGAAAGCCAGTTTCGGGATTAGGCTGTCTCATATTGAAACCGGAACAGAGGTAGCTACGTGGGTATCATCCCAATGTTTTGGAAGTTGACACCTCCCATTGGTTATTCTGATTGGACCTGATGAAAGTTGAAATCCTAGGCAAACATTGTCCAAAAGATGTAGCTTCTGATTATCAGCACCATTATTGGATAAAGATGTGGAAGGCAAATAGGAAAGAGAATAAACTGATATCAAGATGACAATATTATCATTCCTTCAGAAGATCATAATTCACTATCACGCATTGAAATCTGGCAAATGTTTACCAGAGCTGAAAAAGTACAGTGATTTTAATAAATATTATCCAATGCTTCAGTAGTAATAAAATATTAGCAGAATTGTTAGACAAAATTTGAATGTTGAAACTTTAAATCCTATTGAACTTTAGGTTTTATGGAATCACAAAACCATAAGGCTGGAAGGGACATTGGAAGTCTTCTAATCCAACCTCTTGCCCAAGATGACCATAATCTAGAGAACAGATTTCCTGAAATTTCACCAGCAACTATCTTCAGAGACACAGACTACAGGCAATTAAGCAGGGACTGACTAGGCTCTAGCTTTATAGTCAGGTGTCCTCACTTCTGATTGGCTTTTAACCAAGCTTGTTTCCAATTGGTGAGGGCTAGTCTCTGATTTGTTCTTTGTTTAAAAAATCGTTGGTTTTATTGTATTTTATGCTATAATAAATCTTAATAATGCTTTTTAAAATATCCTATCCTGGGACATTGAAGTTCTACCAGTTCTAGACATGCCTAATCACTTTATCCACAGCCCACTACACCAGAGGTCCCCAACCTTTTGGGCACCAGGGACCGGTTCTGTGGAGAAAAGTTTTTCCACGGACCAAAGGGGGCATGGTTTTGTGTACTACCTGCATCCCACGGATGGGGCTTTGCTTGTTTGTACAGACTGGCTGCTGGCATACTGTGACCCGATACCGGTTCATAGACCAGGGGTTGGGGACCCCTGCACTAGACAAAGTGTTGGATTTTAACTCTCTTATTTCTCCATTATGTGGACTTGCTGGTTGGAAATTACAGCAGTTGAAATATAGCTGATTAGAAATGTTGGGGAAAGTTAGTCCTACTAATAATCCATACAATTATGGCACAGCAGTATATTCACATAGCTCTGTAATACATATCTGTACAAGGAACAAGAAGCAAAGATTTTGCAAAAAATTTAATATTTCTTGTGTGCAATCTTTTTTTGATTTGCAAAGGATTTTCAAGAGGAACAGATGGATTCTGACAAATACATGTTCCCAGATATCCAGCACCTGCTCTGTCTATCACAAATTCTACACGCCCACATTCAAGACCTCTTCCATTTTAGTGAATGGGGTACAAAGGATACATGATTTTGTTTCGGAAGTTGTCAAACCTGGAAATCATGACTGTGCAAGCACCACAGCCTCCTTCTCCACAGCCCAATTTGGTTCCACACAAGCCCACTAAGAGGGTAGAGCTTAAGGAAAAAATACCAACATGGCTAATTGCATAGAGTCCTTTATCATTGAAAGTCTCTGGTCCTGGTAACAAGCTTGTATTGTGGCTCCTAAGAGCAGGCTAAAAATCTGGCTTAAAAAAAGCTATCTGGGTTTATACTACATGTATTCCCTGATGGGAAAATGATTTTTAAAGTATAGGATTTAATAAATTTGATTTAAAAAATCACAGAGGTATTGAACTAAATTGGCTATAGACTCCTGAACTATGTTCACACCACATGCTTAACTTGATGACTGGATTCACAGACTATATCAAATCATAAACTAACCAAAATCATCAAGGCACAAAAGCTAATAAAGATTAAAACAAATCATGTCTTTTAATGTATTTATTTATCATATTTAGAAACCACTCATCTCCCTCACAGGGGGATCTTGGCTGGTGTTTTTGCAAGTGATGTGAGTACATCCTCCAATTATTATCTTATTTGGTTTGTGTGTCAATAATGACACGTGGCCTTCTCATTTCAGTTCTTCAAGCAAATCTTTAAATGATCAGTTCTCAGCTGCTTTTTGCTAATCAGAGTTTTCTGTTGATGGCTCTTTGAGATTTTATGTTGATTTAATATGTTGTGTATAAAACTGCATACAAAGCTGGAAGTCTGGTAATATGCCTCTTTTATGGTTTGGTGATTAATATGTCCAACTTCAATTGTGCATATACTGTATCCTTAAATATATTTTTCCCCTTTTTTAATTGCTGAAAAGGATCAGCTGGTGAAAAAGGAATAATTGATTTACATGCACTAGATATGTATTTTTTTTTGTTCTACGCATATGACTAAGAAAAAAAATCAGATCAGGCATTGATTCTCCATCATAGAAGTCAAGGAATGTGTATATCTACTAAAATATATGATGTTCCACTTGGGAACATTCTTAACAATGTAATTAATACTATGCAATCATTTTTCCATGGCAATGCTACTCAACTTTTTATGAAAAACAAATAAACTGGACCCTAATGTATGAATTTTCCCAATTAGTCTGCTCTTCTTTTCTGGTCTCTCTTTTGGCATCTAAGATTGACTATAATGTAAGCATTAATATGCTACTTATTTTAAACAAGAGAGAAAACTCCCACTTAGATTTAACCCAAACCAGTAATCCCCTTAAATTAGCTAGCCTGAATTTCTGATAATCAAATTAAACTCCCTGTTTCAGTAACTGCAGGAAAGAAGCACTGAATCTACAACAGGAGCCAGATCCCAGAAATGGCCACAATCTTTAAATAGGTGAGTCAATGGTTCATTTAGGTTCATTCGATCTAGATTTTTGAGCTTCAAAACCACATTTATTGCCTAAGCTAGATTTGTGCAATTTAAATGTAGTTGTTAGTTTGTAGTTTGGCATCATGTGAACACAACTAGATTTAACTCATGAGGAAAGTGAAGGTAAAGACATCTTTGTGGCACCTGGCATTTTGTTTTGCAGTTTATTGAAGTCTTATTACCTTCTCTGGGAAATGGATTTTTAGCAAAGGGTATGCCAGTGTCAACAGTCCTTAGGAAAACTATAGTTGCCTAGCAACAGATTTTGGAGAGAGACCGCTCTCTTCCATACCCTTCAGTAATATCCAGCTCTAACCATAACATTACAGTTATTGCAACTGGTGATAACTGAGACTATATAGAAGAATGTAGAACTTGGTTACAAGGATCAACAGATAAGTGGATGTAAGAGGGTTGGGTGATTGATGGGGCATTGCTTATTGATCTTGAAATCAGACTTCATTAGAAATAAGCCATGCTATTTTCCAACATAAGAATCAATGAATGTAGAAGTAGCTCAGCTTCTTTCCTACTAATCCAATGCAAGGCAGAAGATGAAAGTTGTCCATCTTCTCACACAGAGATTTTACTATCATTGTGAATGTGCTTTATGTTTATGTCATTCAGTTTAACTCTGGCAAAACTAGAAATACCGGGAATAACAATTAGCAGGTACAGAATCTTCAGAAATCTTAAAACTTATTCTACTGGACTCTGGCCTGCTCCTGTGTCCTTAGGCCACCTTAAAATATATGGACTATTTTAAATTCCATATGGTGCATGTTTCTTGAGCTCAGATACGTTTCCTTCGAAGGTAGATTAGCAAAGTAGTTTCTGGATCCATGTTCTTCTCCACTATCTAAAAAAACAAAAGAAAAGAAAAATAGTTTCTTAAAAGACATTTAACTATAAATATATATGTATGCTGCAGCTAATTCCAGAAACAAAGGAACTGATATCATCCATCAGCAGCTGATTACATTGTAGGAAGTCAGATCTTTCTACCATTGGTGAGTGAATTTCACAAACCACCCAGTCTCTTTGACTAAGAATCATTTCTTAAAAGATCCCTGTTCTTGAGGTAGAATTATTAAGTACTAACCTGATATTTACAATGTAAAACTGCAGGTGGCAATGAGTTTTGGAAGTATTCAGGTTCAGGCCTGATCAATATTGGATGGGAGACACCAGCATATTGCAAGACAGTAGAAAGTCAAAACAAATTGTGGAAGATGACAACAATGAACCTATTTTGTATTGTTGCCAAGCAAGTGTTTTGGATGTGTTTATGCAGTCACAAGGAGTTGAGCTCAGTTCAAAATGCATTTACTTTTTTCACAGCTTTCAAACAAGGTTTTGATGCCTTTAATTATTCATTTAAAAAAACTCATATGTTTACTTGTTTTGATTTAAATGTTAATAGCCATACTTTTCAGTAGAAAGAATAATAATGATTTCAGTTTAAATAAATGGGCAATATTCTTACTGAAATTGTAGAATAAAAATCAATTAAGATTAACAAAAAAAAACTTGTGCTAAACACCTCCTGTCATGTACTGAGGGCCAGAAGTATCACTGGCAATCACAAATTAAGTATACTTTGTCTCCTTGGTCCAACATAGTGGACTAGGTGCTCTATATACCAAAACATAGGTTTTCAGTCACAAGTATGCAGAGTGTATCAAGATTAGGATGTCAGTATTTGTTCTGCCAACAATAACATACTTTCCTTCCTGATTGCACTACAAGACTGGTAGACACTGAGTCAGGTTGTTCATTTACTCTTCAAGGTAGATTTTATGGCACCATTACAGTGAACTCCTAATCTCTTGGCTTGGCTTGCCACACTATCCTTGCTCTATCTTTAAGCTAGATTTTTTATTGAGTTATTTATCAGCATTTCTCTGTAATGGTACTTCTTGTTGATTCCTGAATGCTTCCAATGTCTTTCTCTAGAAATTATTAAGTATCTACAGTGCCTAATTTTGCATAATATACAAAAATTAACTGTAGCTAATCAACTTATATTTCAGTAAATTGTGTGAACCTAGACAGATTGATAACCATTGCATGGTTAAATAAACTCCTCTTTACTTATCTAGCTTTCTAGAATGGTACAGCAGTAAATTAAAATACAATAACCCTAAAGGTTGGGTATAATGGGTTAAAATGTGAGCTATAATTTGGACCATTTGAGCAGTTTCTAGGTGCTGGACCTCTAATGCTACTCACTAAACATGTAGGTTTTTTGCCTTAGTTTCTTTGTGATTTATAGGGGATGAGATCTTGAGCAGGAGAAAATTTTCACCTTCTGAATTCTAGCCAAATTAGTTTTAATTATTAACACTAAAGTTTATCCCTAACTTTCCAGATTAGAATCAATTATAACATTGCTTTTTAGTTGAAAACTTTGATCTCGGGATCAAAAATGTATACTTGTTTCTCTTTCCGACTGAATTACTTTTGTTACTAACAGATTATTTCAGCCCATTTCTTATGTTTGTGTAGATTGAAGAAGGTCATTGTGTGCTTTAAGTTGTGGTGGTGATGATGCTGTAACACAAACTGTTTGTTAAAATTCATTTTGCCTAGACTTGCAAGAATTTTAGGACAGATAAATACCCATTTCTTGGCATAATTTGGTTTACTGCCATAAAATGTGGCAGTTAGTTAAGATAACTTTACTTCTGTAAAAATTTACAGAACCATAATATTTGGTAGCAGGGTGCTTACTCAATAATAATTGCTGGGGAAGCACGGACAGTCTGTGGAAGTCAAATGCTGGATTGCATAAATCTTTGGGATGATCCAGCAAGACTCACTATAATATATGTTAAACAACAAGATCATAATTTCAAAGTCTATTTCCTCCTGCATGTTCCATTGTTATCATTTTTACAGGAAATACTTGTCACCTAAGAACTGAATCGGGGCTAAGCTACATTTCTAACAAAAAAAAAAAAACCTTGTTGCTATTGCCATTGATTTAATGAGAGATCAATTTTCCATCAAGACTATCAGATGGAAGGAGAAACATTTGCCCCCTAAACCCCACAACTTCCCAAATCTAATTCCTTCCACATATGTAGACCTGCAACTCCCATAATTTCTAGCCAGCATTTATAGAGCACCTGTTTTGGGAAAGATGATTTAATGCATATCTACTCAAACGAAGTCAAACCATTCATGTAGATACATCACTGGGACATTAAGTTTATAAGGAGTGGTAAAATAAATACATATGGCCCTCCTTTGATTGAAGTAGTTATTTTTCTTTTTATATCCCCTTATTACAAAATCAATATTAATCAAACATTTCCGGTCAAGTACAAGTGACGGTCATGCTATAATGGAAGGGAAAAATAGTATGATTTTGGCTTGTTGGTTTGAGAAGTTAGGTGCTTAATGAATTTCAAATGATAAATATTAATTTTGGCTTGTTTTTCTACACCTTATCAAATTCTCCCTATCACTCATCATTGTAACCTTGAAGTCACATGCAGCAAACTATACCAGTTATTCACAATGCCAGACTGCCAGAAATAGAGACAAGGTAACCTTTCTCATCAACTGGACAGCCATTTGTCCGAAATAGCGTAGGGTTTCCTGCCCGAGCAGGGGGTTGGACTAGATGACCTCCAAGGTCCCTTCCAACTTTACTATTATTACTATTACTAACTGCAATATGTTGTGTTCTGTCCTAAGGTCTTGGTCAGGGGTAGGCAACCTCGGCTCTTTTATGACTCATGAACTTCAACTCCCAGAATTCCTGAGCCAGCTATGCTGGCTCAGGAATTCTGGGAGTTGAAGTCCATGAGTCATAAAAGAGCCGAGGTTGCCTACTCCTGGTCTTGGTCAATACATTCCCAGAGTTGCTGAAATGCTCTACTTTGTGCTTCTTCTTCTGGTAGCATTTCATCATCTTTCCATGATGCAGCATTTTGAAGGATCTGAACAAACTTGCACAACAAAGCCTGCTTACGTCAAGGTGACTATCACAGAACTCATGCATCTTTTAGTCACAGTGTGGACTCATTTTATGAAACAAGCAATCCAAATTATTTGCCAACCCTTTCCCGAGGTTAAGCTGCTAAATCAATACTGGCACCATTTCAGAGGATTTTTGACTCATGGAAGAGACATAGCTGATGTAAAACATACTATATGAGGGGAGATGATTAGAAAGGGTTTCAGTTAATGTTTAGATCTGTAAAAGCCTGGAACAAACCCTTTTGCACATTTTGTATCATAAGTTGTTAACTTGTCATCAAATAACAGGGATTTGGAGTCAGTCAACCTCCACTCCAGCCTCAGTGTGGTTTTCAGTTGGCCACTCTCTAAAGAAGATGTTCATTGTGAAGACTACCAGAATTGTTTACAGAAAGAGGAAGGCTCTAGAAGTATCTAGATGAGTTGCATGCTTGTCACTATCAATATATTGCCTATTCTGCTTGATCTGATAGCAGCTCTTGAAAAAATCAAAAGTGGGAAGATCTTTTTTCAGATGTCTGGTAAGCTTTTTTAGTTAAAGATCTAGGGACTGAGCAGGTCTTTTCTAAATATTCTGTTGAGCAATGATCTATTGGGGTAGGGCAAAAAGATGCAGGAATAGGACTTCACTTTCCTCTTTATTTCAGGATGCTCATAGTTAGAAAAAGAAAAGGGAAAAGAAAAGACCTCTGTTGGGATAAACACTAGAGAGATTTAAAGAAGCTGTGATGATTGTGTCATTCTGCTCTCCAGTTTAATTGAGCAAAAACAATATTCTCCTCTGACTGCAGATTGATAAAGGTACAGATTGAAAGCTACAAACCACAGTGTTTTCAAGGAAATAAGAATAGTGACTTTGTATACAGTTTGTTGATGCAACCTACCTAATCTCCACTCTGGCTGGGTCCCATTCGTTACCTCAATATGACAGCCCGCAATTGCTGAGATTATCTTTTTAAGACAAGCTTCAGTCAGATGCTCAGCCATAAAAGCAGAATTTGCCCAAGCTGTATGAGAGTAATCTAAGCCAGTGTTTCTCAACCTTGACAATTTTAAGGCATGTGGACTTCAACTCCCAGAATTCCACAGCCAGCATTGCTGGCTGTGGAATTCTGGAAGTTGAAGTCCACATGCCTTAAAATTGTCAAGGTTGAGAAACACTGAATAAGCATTGTTGGTTGTGGAATTCTGGGAGTTGAAGTCCACATGCCTTAAAATTGTCAAGGTTGAGAAACACTGAATAAGCATTGCTGGTTGTGGAATTCTGGGAGTTGAAGTCCACATGCCTTAAAATTGTCAAGGTTGAGAAACACTGAATTCTAAGCTATTTATAATGGAATTAAAAGGGAGGTGCTAATTTGTTTCAATTCATGAACTACATCCTGGCAGCAGGAACAAATTCTATGCAGAGTCTGGCAGTGAAATTTTCTGGAGCAAACCAGTACATTGCCATACTGTATCTTTTTCTCTGAAATTCATCAGGGATGGAATAATCTACCTGTTCCAGCATGGAGCCCATCTGTTATTGGTAATTGCTAACATTTAATCTTGTTGTCAAATAAAGATATAGGGGGTCTGGGAGGGGGAAATAGGGCTTATTTTTGTAAATCAGTTCATGGATATTAATATGCTAACTGAAAAGTAACCAAAGTTGGGATCAGGAAAAGTTCAAGGCAATCAAGAATATATATATTATTTGATTACATACTTTACTATGGAGCATAGGAGATTGCATTGCTTTGTCTTACATTGTCTTACTTTGGTAGTTTTCTGCAGTTCTCTTTAAGTCAGCTTTTGCTCAGCACTAAGTTATGAATGACACTTTTATAAAAGTGACGTCCCTGCCTTAAGATCTTTTTCAATGCAAAAATGAAACAGAAACACCCTGAAAAATGCTGTGCTTTTTCCTCCTTTTTGATTCAAAGAAACATTGGATCCATTAATTTGTTTTCTAAAACCACCACCACCACCACCACCACCAATTGCCATAATGACAGCTGTTCATCAGCTATCACTGTTTCTTCATTCATCTATCATTTATTGAATAGATCAGTAAATATCTTAAAGAGATATCTTAAATCCAATACTCCTTCTTTGAGAAATGCTTTTGCCATCTGCTAAAGAGGGAGAAGAGCCATGGGAATAATCCATGAACTAAGATGCAAGAAGAAATATTATTAAAAAAAACCACAGGTTCTCTCCTACCTTCTTGCCATTTACAAAGAAGAGCAGTTCATTGTTTTCTGGGGCCATTTTACGCATCTTCTGAATGGAAAATAGGAATAAGTTCCTGGATCACACTCTTTAAAGTTGCCCAACGCAGCTGCAGCCTGTCCCAGAAATATCAAAACAGGCAATGTGAGAAGTTCCTAGGAATCTTTGATCTTATATTGCAACACTAGAAAAGTCCAAGTTATAAAAGAACCGCCCAGAGGTGTGTCAGCTACACTTGGTTGGGACTTCCTGCTCTAAAGATAGTAAAGGAAAAACAGAAAAAAAGTAGTCTCCACCCCTTTTGGTGCCATGAAATTCAATGCAATCTTCTATAAATCAGGCAGGCAAACTTTGGCAGGAGAACAAGATTGCTCAAAATTACGTCTGTTCTTTCATGTTCTACCATTTTGGCATAACCGATTCTAGAGTAGTGGTTCTTCAACTATTTGACCCCAATTACTCCCTTCCCCAGTCTTGAATAATGTCATTACACACAGAAAAAAAGCCCAGACTCTGTTATTTCACTAGCTGCAGTCCCAAACTGGATTCTTGACACACAAACAAGCAATTTCAAATTGCTCCATTTGATATGTTCAAATTACCTGTTGGGGATAATTAATCCCAATTTAGAGCTAATGTTGTAGAGTAGTGTTATATCATCATAACATACAGTAACTTTATAACAACTTTCTTTCTTAAAAGCTGCTCAAACCTGACAAATCGATGCTTATATACTGTATACTTAGAATGTAATTTAAAACACAAGTAGATTAATCCAACTGATTGTATAATTCTCAAATCCTTGCAATTATAATATGTTAGTCAAAAAGAAGTGAGTGCATTCATCTTGGGCAATTATGCTTTTGCAGGATCCAATCTGGGCTGGTCATCAGGACCAGAGGTTTAGTCTTCTGAGCTTTTGGACTAACGCCGGAGCCCATCCTTAGGAAATTTCTGTTCAGCAGAATGTGTTTCTCTCTAGCAGAATTTTGCTTTTATTAGATGACCCTTAATTGTGATAGGAACTACTGTCCAGTAGTTCTCTTGTGCAAAAATAATTCCTCAATCAACTTACATCCATCTTGAATGCTTTCCTTTCATACCTCTCCAAAAAAAACAGCTTTAGCATCTATTACTAAATTTTGAAGATATTAGCATTAAGAGATCAGCATCAAATCAAGCATGACCTAACTGTAATTTATTTATATTCGCCACCTTTTTCTAAATAAAATATAAGTATACCTGTAAGAAAAATCCTATTTAAACTGATGATCAGTATAGCACTTCCCAAGGATCTTATGATAACCCTGCTGCAATTCTTAGGCTTACTAATAGTCCTTCATTTTTAAAAGCAGCATTATGCAATATATAACTACATTCCTCAGCCTTTACTAGATTTGATTTTAAACATGCGTATACATGCATTTAATGCATATTTAAGTTAATGTTTGTGCATATGAAGAATTAGACCTTTGTTATCATGGATGCATTTCATTTGATGAAGTAGTATTCCACAACTCAAATATATCCAAAATCCATATGCAATTGCATCGATAATTCTAAAACAATTGATTAAGCAAGCTGAAAGTTGATATTATCTATGTTCACAGCAACCTTGTTGGGTTTCCAATACCATGCTTCTTAGTATTTCTAATAAAGTATAGCATAGCTCAGCAAAATATAAACACTGAAATATTTGTGGTGTCACACAAACTTTAATCATATTTCAACAGTATTATAGGCCATGTTTTTAAAGGCACACAGTGCAGCAATCTCAAATTTATCAGACTTGAGTATGTTTACTACTTGATGACGGATTGCCTGACACCCTGTTGACAACCTTGAGATTGGTGGAAGAAAGCTAAAGAGATTAAAAATACTTAAACATTGACTCAGTCTACTTATGAAAGAGAAAGTAGAACGTTACCTCATCTGAACTTCCTGCTAACCCACTGTGTAGCCCAAAATCACTATAGCCAAATAGCCTCTATATTCTTTATTTCTGCCTTTCTAATGATCCAAACAATATAAATTCAAGTATAGAGTACATGTTGTGCAAGTCAAATATCCCAGTTTCATCCTTGGTATTTTCAGTCTATGCATCTCAGACTGAAGAACAGAAAGCACAGCACAGTGGTGGGATTCATCCAGTTTGCACCACTTTGGCAAACCGGTAGTTAATTTTTTGTTGCCCAGGCCCAGAACGTACTTCCAGAAGCGGTATCCACACAGAGAACCAGTTGTTCACATATTTGAATCCCACCACTGGAACAGGAAACATAGAGACAAGGATTATCCACTAGGCATAATGGATTAATGAACTGACTTAGATGACAATTTAATATTCTTAAAACTTTTCCTTCTTGGCTGGGCAGATAAGAACATGAACTTAAACCTGCTGGTCATTATATGTGTAAGAAATGAAGAATAGAACTGAGGCTATAAGGCAAATTACTACTATAAAAAATAAGACTCTATATATTATGGATAAATAAAGCATTAAAAATGAGAATTGGTTTAGGTTTGTTAATGACTTTGATAATAAAACTCCCTAAAATGGAGGGAGGCAAATTCATAAAGCTATCTATCAAATTAGACATTAGAACTTTTGTTTAGCAAATAAACCAGTGAAAGAATCCAGGGTTCATTTGAGGGGAGAAGACTTTGCATTTTTAAAAAGATTAAAGCTTAGAATGATCTGAGGCTTGCAATATATACCGGGGAAAAACCCCAACCCCACGGTGTTTTAAGATAGGTGCAGAACAAGAAGAATGTCAACGAAGTGGTCCCTTTGCTCCTTAGAGAAGACAACTAGATCATGACAAGGAACAGGGAGAGGGTTGAACTAGTTAATTCCTATTTTGCTTCTGACTTTTTGCAGAAAAAAAAAATGTGCTCCAACCTGTCAGAACTGGGGACTGAAGAGAAATGCAAGTCAAAATAGGCATAGAAGTGGTGAGAGAGCCCTTACTTGCTTTGAAAAAATTCAAGTCGCTGAGACTGGGTAGATTACCTCCCCGGGTGCTACAGTAACTGGCAGATGTGATCACAGAACTATTTATTATCATCTTTGAAAACTTCTGAAACAGAGGAGAAGTAACAAAAGGATAGACAAGAGGTAGCCTTGTACCAATTTTTGAAAAAAGGGAGGGAGGGGAGAAGCTAGATACCAATCAACTTGATATTTACTGTATACCTAGAAAAATCCTAGAAAAAATAACCAGACAGTAAGTTTTCACATATTTAGAAAGAAACAAGTTAATTGCTAGGAGCCAGCATGATTGTGTTAAAAATAGTTCATGCCAGAAAAATCTTGGGGGTTTAGAGGGGGGAGGGAATCAAAGAGACTAAATTATTCTACCAAAGGAATGCTGTCAATATGACCTTCAGTAAGGCTAGAACCTCCTTCTTGATAAAATGAAACAGTGGAGGATGGATTACCCAACTACCAGGTGGATTTGCATTTGACTGAGCCACATACCAAATGTGTATTCCTTAATAAACATATGTCTGCCTGGAAGAAGGCCAGCTTATGGTTTTATCCTCTGCTCACTGATCTTCAAGACTTTAGAATTACTTAGGCAAAGAGATAGAAGGGATGTTTATCAAATCTGCAGATGACACAAAACTGAAAAGGAGGGATTGCTACTACTTTAGAAAAGAGGCTCAAGGTTGGCTTCTGGCATGAGGAATGGCTGGATGGAAACATCTCCATGAATGAGCAGAGACAATGACTACTGTGAAAATGAAAAACCAGTGAGTAGAATAAGTCTGATCCTTAACATGGATCGTTTAAATTTCTCTGATCATTTATTTGTCTCAGTGGTTAGCAGCATATGACTGACTTTGAGTTTGGAAGCTAAGCAGAGTTGGGCCTAGTTGGCATTTAGATGGAGACTGGACGTCCAAATGAGTATTTCAAAATTATAGAAAGTGAGGTAGTAGAAGTGAGTAGAAAGATGAGGCATTCATCCAATTTGTTTTAAATGTTGTACATACAATCAAGATAAGATAGATGCAAAGATAGATGTGAGGTGAGCGACACTGTAGACCTGTACCTTGTCTAATGTATATTGAATACCTGCATAGAATTTACAGGCAACTAAAAGAAGATTTTTTTTTAATTTGTAACTTCAGAAAAACGTAGACCACAGATTAAACAGGAGCTAGCGGAATGCTGCAGCTGCCAAAAGCCAATGCAATATCCCTGCATCAACCAAGTTATAATCATAGAAAGTTGAAGTTTCGCTGTCTACTGCACTGGTCAGATTGCATCTGGAATACTACTAGATGTACACATCACAATAAGATGCTGAGGGATTAGAAATAATGCAAAAAAACATACAAGGGGGTTAAAGGCTGGATCCTATGAAGAACAGATAAAAGAACTGGGTGTGTTTAGCCTAAAAAAAGAGAAGGTTAAGAGAGAGATGATTGCAGTTGTACATTACTTGAAGACTATCAAAAGAAAAAGGATATAGATTTATTTTCTTTAACCAATGGCAAGTACCAATGGATAAAAGCTCTCCACAGAAAGATCCAGATTTGAAATTCTTGACCATGAGAGTTACTTAATAGCTCTCATGGTCCAGACTGCTTTCTGGAGTCATGGGTATTCTGGAGATTTTCGAACAAAGGTTGGACAATTATTTGTCAGAATTGTTTCTTTCTGTTAATTGTTCTCCAACCACCAGGAACTGTCTTTCAAATGCCAAATCTTCATTTCTTCCAACAAAACCATTTTTCTTCCATTTGTTTATTTGTATATAAAAAAATTTCAGGAGAATGTGGCAACACGGTTCCATATCCTAAGCTCATAATAGAGGGTGGATGACACATCTAAATAAATAGGTGTTTTTACTGCATGCCTGATACATTCATCATATATCAAGATAAGGAATTATTGCATAAATGTGAATATATATTCTAATACCTGAGAACACCAATGTAGTATAGAAACAAAACTTTGTCATCTTACAGTATTTCTGAGGTAGAGTGTGACTATTGTTCATAGTCTACAAATGGCTCAGTTTGTTGGCGTGGTTTAAAATAAAGAAAAGCATGATGAAACCTGTTTGCTTAAAATCTATCTATCTATCTAATAATAGGATTAGTTGTATTTTGGGTTGGGCACTAAGGCGAAAAAAACTTACA